GTGTTAGCCGGGGTTACTCGTACAAGCTAAATTTGGTTGGGAGCTCAGCTAGGGCTTTGAGCTCACTATGTAGTCTGTCTTTGTGTGTTGTCTCATTTTCCAGGGTTCTATCTATGGTCTCTTCTTTCTTGGATAGTCCGGTCTTCCTAACAGTGTGGTAGCTCGGTTCCAGTAGGGAGCATTCCAGCCTCTTTATGCACCTGGTTATCAGACCTCTCCCTGCATTATGCTTGCTAATGTCCCATTGGTCAAAATAAGTCACATAACCAAATCCAGAGTCTTTATGAGAGAGGACTAAACAAGATGTAAATATATTATGAGCCATAATATGGTAGTTAGCCTCCAAGATGGCCCTGAATGATCCCCATTTCCGTATATTCCAACTGAATAGGGCTGTCCTGAGTAACTAATAGGCTGTTGTGGAAGTGACAGTGTATGTTTTTGAAGGTTAGGTCATAAAAGATTGCCATTTATGACTTGGTGCTCTTGGATCACTCACTGGGAGAAAGCCAGCCACCATTCCATGAGGACACTCAAGCAGCTGTCCAGAGAGCACCTGTAGAGAGGAACTGATGCCCTTTGCCAAAAGCCAGTGCCAGCTTACCAGCCATGTGAATGAGCAACCTTCATAGCACATCTGGTAGGCCCATCAGACCTTCAGATGATTATAGCTTTAACTGACGACGGTTTCATTAGAGTCCAAGCAAAACCACCTAGCTGAGTCACTCTCCAGTTCTGCCTCCATAGAAACTGTGTGACAAATAAATGTTTATTGTTTTAAGGTACAGAGTCGGGGGGTATTTTGTTACATAGCAATAGATGACAAATACATACACTTTTCTATTGACAGATATTTTTGATGACTCATTTCCTATATAATAAAATCTGAAACTCCTTTGTTATGGCATTTAGGAATAGAATTTGCCCTTTTTACTTTATCTCTTGCCTCCCACTCAACTTGCTGAGATTGCTTCAGAATACTTTGTAAGATGTCTCTGATGACTTCAGAGTTTGGCTGAGTTAGCTTTGATGGATTCATCAACCTTGTGAGTGAGACATTCATTTACTGTCTACCTCATAAATAAAAAGGCATTTTCATGAAATGCAAATCTAACCATATTATGCTGTTGTTCAAAACACGTTAGTGGTTCTTGCCTTCAAGATAAAGGCCAAATATCTCTGGTTTGCATGTTTTCTCCTTTGGCTTTTGTCAACTTGCATGAGGATTTAAACTGTTCCTTAGTTTACTCATCCATAAATACAAATTTTGGTTATTTTGTTGGTTGAGGTTAGATGAACTATGTAGAAGGGATCCTAATCAGATGATTTCAGGTGGCCTGGCTAGTCCTACCTGAAGTTAATGTTAGGATTATCTTTAATCCCTTCACAACTCCCATTTGGTGCTCTTTATTTCTCAAAGAATTCCTAAACTTCAGGTGTTTTTATCTTCTGTTATTAATTCCAACTAGATAACAATCTCTACTAAAATGTTAACAGATAACCAAGAAAGAAGGCTTAACATCTCAAAGGGATGTTTGTACTTGAGCAGTAAGTAGGCTCTCACTGACTAGTAACTGCATAACCAAACCAAGATACAAAGCTGTAACAGAATGGCAGGAGAGGGTTGGTATTTTGATTAGAGTGCTAGTACTATATCTATCTATATATAGTTGTCTTGATTTGGGACTTTTCACCAGTGAAGCCATTTAACATTGGAGATTTTTGTTGTGGGAAGGTTTTTAATTTCAGATTCAGTTTCTTTTCATAGAGAGAGAATTATTCAGATAGTGTATTTTGTGTGACAGCCCCCTCCAGTGTATTATTATTATTATCGGGTGAATAATATAATATGTCCTCTTTTTAATTCCTGATACTGGTAGTTTATGCCTTCTCTCTCTCTCCTTGATTTATTCTTTTAGAGACAATTCTATATAGTCAATTCTATTAGTCTTTTCCGCAGTCAGCATTTGGCATTGTTCGGTTTTTCTCTTTTGTATGTTTGTTTTCCAATTCATTGATGTCTGTTTTAATTCCTCCCCCCTTTGATTCTACCTCCTTTCTGTTTAATTTGCTATTTTTCTAACATGGAAATGTAGATCACTGATTTTTCATTTTTCCTTCTTTTGTAGCTTATACATTTAAGGCTGTAAATTTCCTACGAGTACAACTTTAACTGCATCCCACGAGTATTGATAGTTTTCATTGTCATTCAGTTCAGAATATTTTCTAAATTCCATTATGGTTCTTTGATCAGTTGAATATCACTAAATATCTAAGGAAGAAAGATAAAACCAGCATTACTATAAACTTTCCATGTAATAGGAAAAAAGGGATCACTTACCAATTTGTTTTAAGCCAGTATAACCTCATTTCTAAAATGGACAAGGTTGGGGGTGCTTGGGTGGTTCAGGTGGTTAAGCATCCAACTCTTGGTTTCAGCTCAGGTCATGATCTTGGAGTCATGGGATTGAGGCCCATGTTGGGCTCCACTCTCAGTACAGAGTCTGCTTGAGATTCTCTACGTCTCCCTTAGCCCTTCCCCTTCTCACACACACTCTCTCTAAAAAAGAATAAATAAAAAATCTTTAAAAAATTTTAAAAAAATAAAATGGACAAAGTTGTCTTAAAGAAATCTCTGTTTTAGGTCAATTTCTTTCGTGAATATAAATGCAAAAATTGAAGTAATAGCATCTCAAATCTAGCAATGTACAAGTGTTATGACCTAGTTGGTGTTATTTTAAAATGGAGACTTGGACTAGAATTAGATTTTAGTAATGGAAACTTAGATTAAAATTAGAAGACCCGTCAGTGAGATTTACTCAGGAAAATATGAGCACCTCAGCATGCACAGAAAAATGATAAAATTCAATACATATGATAAAGTCATCTTCTGTATGATCTATTTCATCTAACATAATACCCTGTAGGTTCATCCATGTTACCACGAATGGCAAGATTTCATTCTTTTTTATGGTTGATTAATATTCTAGTGTGTGTGTGTGTGTATCACCTTTATCCTCTTTATTGGTGGACATTTTAGGTGGCTTCCGTATCTTGGCTATTGTAAATAATGCTGCAATAAACATAGGGGTGCATGTATGTTTTTTAATTTTTTTTTTAATTTTCTTCAGGTAAATAATGAGAAGTGGAATTACTGGGGCATATAGTATTTCTATTTTTAATTTCTTGAGAAACCTCAGTGCTGTTTTCCACAGTGGCTGCATCCATTTATATTCCCACCAGCAGTGCATGAGGGTCTCCTTTTCTCCACATCCTTTCCAATACTTGTTAATTCTTGTATTTTTGATTCTAGCCATTCTGACTGGCATGAGGTGATACTGCATTGTTGTTTGCATTTGCATTTTCCTGATGATTAGTGATTAGTTTAGCATCTTTTCATGTGTCTCTTGGCCATCTGTATATCTTCTTTGGAAAAATGTCTATTCAGGTCCTCTGCCCATTTTTTTAAATTGGATTATTTGGTTTTTTTGGTTGAGTTGCATGGGTTCTTTATATATTTCGGATATTATCCCCTTATCAGATATATCATTTGCAAATATCTTCTATTCAGTAGGTTGCCTTTTTGCTTTATTGATGGTTTTCTTTGCTGTGCAAAACCTTTTTAGTTTGATGTAGTCCCAGGAGTAAATTTTTGCTTTTGTTTCCCTTGCCAGTGGAGACAGATCCAGAAAAATATTACTTAAGGTCGATGTCCAAAAGATTACTGCATGTGTTTTCCTTTAGGAGCTTCATGGTTTCAGGTATTACATTTAGGTCTTTAATCCATTTTATTTTTGTGTTTGGTGTAAGAAAGTGGTCCAGTTTTATTCTTCTGCATGTAGCTGTTCAGTTTCCCCAGCACCATTTATTGAAGAGACTGTCGTTTCCCCGTTATATATTCTTGCCTCCTTTGTGGTACATTAATTGACCATATAAGCCATATAAGCAGGGGTTTATTTCTGGGCTGTTTTGTCCTAGTGCCATACTGTTGATGTTTTGGGGGGGGTTTTTTTGGGGTTTTTTTTTTTTTTTCTTGAAGTATAGTTGACACACAGTGTTACATTAGTTTCATGTGTATAGTGTGCATAGTGATTCCACAACTGTATGCATTATGCTGTGCTCACCATAATTGTAGCTACCATCTGTCACCATAAAATACCTTTAGGATACCACTGACTATATTCCTTTCATCTCCATGACTTATTCATTCCATAAGTGGAAGCCTGTACTTACAATTCGCCTTCACTTACTTTACCCATCCCCTAGTAACCTGTGTAGTTTTGATTATTGCAGCTTTGTAGTATACCTTGAAATCTGGAATTGTGATACCTCCAGCTTTGTTCTTAAAATTGCTTTGACAATACAGGGTCTTTTGTGGTTCCGTAAAAATTTTAGGATTCTTTGTTGTAGTTCTGTGAAAAAATACTGTTGGTATTTTGAGGGGGATTGCATTGAATCTGTAGATTGCTTTGGGTAATACGGACATTTTAACAATATTCTTAAAATTCATGAGCATGGACTTTTTTGTTTTAGAGTGATTCTGAAATGTACATTTGTTAATTTTGTAATTATAAATAACAACAGAGGTTATTTTATAATTATAGCTTTTAATCCGAAGTACAACTACATAAAAATGCTTAAGCATGGTTTTCTTTTGTGAAATGCAAAACCTACTAAAGTGTGAAATGAGAGCACTTTGAAAGAGCCTAAATCAAGGCAGCTTTGATAATAAAATGTAAAGAAACAATTGATGATGTTGCAAAATATCAAATGAATTTGGTTGTATGTATGACGCTAAGAACTTTTTTACCTGGGCTAAATTTTACCTAAAATGATTAGAGTCTTAAATGTAGATTTACACAAATTGATTGTGAATCCTCAGATAGTATCTAATTACTAGTTTGTGTTGTAATGGACATGAGTTTTTAAAAATATATGTCTTCTACTAATTTCTAAATATCAGGAGTTGAGTATTTTTTTTTTTTTATGTATTTTTACAGATGGTAGTAAAAACTTTTATGGATATGGATCAGGACTCAGAAGACGAAAAACAGCAGTATCTCCCACTAGCCTTGCATCTTGCATCTGAATTTTTCCTCAGGAATCCCAATAAAGATGTGCGTCTCCTTGTAGCATGTTGTTTGGCCGACATTTTTCGAATCTATGCCCCAGAAGCTCCATATACTTCCCATGATAAACTTAAGGTAAATAAAATCTTTACAGAATTTAGTTTACTTTTGTAGTTTATAGTTTAGCTTACCTTTAGGAACATAGCTTTTATTATTATTCACCTGTCATCATAAGAAGATTCTAAGTTGTAAAACAGATGAATTATTCATTCAGTTAAAATTCATTGCATAGGTCATATGATAAAAAAAAAAAAATTTCATTGCATATCCACAAAAATGGTATTTTTATTGTGGCATTGAAAGGTGTAGAGCAAAACTAGTCCCTGTCTGCTCATATGTAACCTTCATGATAACCCATCACTAAGCCCCGGTGGCTGAATTGAAGGGATAAGTAGTGGATTAGTGACACTTTATAAAACAGTAGTGTAACAGAATTTACATATTCAAATGATGATTTCCCCCTGCACATTACATGCAAAATTATATTATGCTTATCTTGGAAGTTTCTGCCTTTGTTTAAAATGTTTGAGGAACTCTTTTGAGTTGATCTCTTGAGCTGACTTCATATTCTGAATAATTTTATTCCTGGCAAATTTTAATATTTTGAACTGCTTTCTCTTCAGTTTTGCGTATTGATTCTATTTTGGGTTAAAACTTCTAAAAAAAGCTTATTAAGAAATGGCACACTATTGTCATGAAAAGTACAACCCTTGAGCCAGTCTTACATGGTTTTTGTTCCACACAAGTTTGTAGTCACACATCAAATTCAAACTAGATGCTGAAAATTACTATTTTCATGTAGGAAATAGTAATGGAAAGACTCTTGTCCAGGTCCTTAAAATGAAAATTCTTTGCCATGATGCAAGATGAAGATAGTGAGTAAAGTGAAAGTTCTATAGTAGAAGAAAAGGCAACAAGATATAGAACTTACGGTTCTCCGAGAATGAGAAAGCCTAAAGATTATGCCAATAATAATTTTTATTATCATTTCTAAAAGATATCATTTTATATAATTTGCTCTGTTCTCATTATTTGAAATAACAGACTAAGCCAGTCCCAAGTCATTTGGCTAAGCAGAATTTTCTTTTATCGTATGTAATGGAGAATATGTATACAGACTATTATTAATGTATTGTGAAAGAATGATAAGTATTTGTATCTAAATTAATTTTGTCATTTTTTTTTTAACAGGACATATTTTTGTTTATTACCAGACAATTAAAAGGTTTGGAAGATACAAAGAGTCCACAGTTTAATAGATACTTTTATTTATTAGAGGTAAAAAAAATTTAATAAATATCACACTATTTGTGTAATAGAAAATTCCTTACAGTAACTTTATAATGTAAAATGAATTTTTTCATTTTCTACAAATCCCACTTAATAAAATGTCTAAGACTACATTCCACTGGAAAACCTATTATATGAAACTATTTTCATCTTTCTGTTTTTATTCTTTTCTAATCTGAAGAGGGATTAGGTTGAATTAATTTTCACTGTTCCTTATATTTAGTATATATATAAGTCTTAATCTCTAACAGTTTTAGTATTTTTCCATTAGAGTAGGTTAATGCCAACAAATGTATGTCTTTTTAAAGGTCACAGTATATGACAACTTTAACAACTTTAATTTTATATAGTTAGATCTTTATAAGCCTTAATATAGATTCATAATTCTAAAAATTAAATTACAGTAATGAATTTGCCTTTGTGTAACTATTCTGTGCAAATGTAAATAATCATTTTATTTATTTATTTAAGAACTTAGCTTGGGTTAAATCCTATAACATCTGCTTCGAATTGGAAGATTGCAATGAAATTTTTATTCAGCTTTTTAGGACTCTCTTCTCAGTGATCAAGTAAGTTATTTTTTAAGCATTTCTGTTTGTCTCTTTCCTTGCTGTGCATAGTGAAGTATTGTGTACTGTGCCTCTAACTATGATCTTTTAGATTTATAATGAAATGTTTTCCTTAGAAGACTTGACATGAGGAAAATAAGCAAATCTGTTGTCTAAAAGCTGCCTTTGCTCTTATACTACTATTTTAGGTTAGGTATCAATTACATTGTTTGACTTATAAAGCAAATGGTGTGAGGCCTTATGTAATGAAATATTAAATTATGAAATGGAAATTATAAGTATTGTAAGTACCATTAGTGAGTGCTGAAAATCATAGTACCTCAGTGGTTAAGCACACTGACTTCTCATTTTCAAGCTAGAAAAACTCCTTAATCATTGCTCTTTCTTTATAGAAATAGGGAAAGAGAGAGTGTGGCTTGCCCAAGGACAAATCACTGAACAGGAGAGCCTAAACTCTGATTTCAGTTCAACGTTTTGTTGTGTTTTATTCTCTTTGGGTTTTTTGTTTAGTAAACCAAGCATTATCATGAGATGGGTTCTACAGCATTGCACTATATACAAACATAATATATCTCACATAAATTTTAAATTTTCTAGTAACCACATTAAGAAAGGTTAAAAAGAACAAATGAAATTTATTTTGATAATATACTTTATCCCAGAATATTCAAAAGCTTAGTTTATTTTTTAAGATTTATTTATTTTAGAGAGAGAGAGAGCATGGGCACGCATGCGTGAGCAGGGGGAAGGGCCGAGGGGAGAGAGAATCTCAAGCACACTCCCTGCTGAGCTCAGAGCCTGACGTGGGGCTCAATCTCATGACCCTGAGACCATGACCTGAGCCAAAATCAAGAGTACAGCGCTTAACTGAGTGAGCCACCCAGGCACCCACAAAAGCATTATTATTTCATCTTGTGGCTCTGTCCATACTACAAGTGTTCATTGGCAAAGTGGCTATTGGCTAATGGCTTCCATATTGGATAGCACATTTCTAGAGTTTTCTGTAAATTTTTTTTTTTGAATACTATGCTATCATGCTTTCTCTTTCCTTAGAATGGTAGGAATAGAATTTAACTGGAATAAACAGGAAAGAACTGGACTGTACTGGTGTAGAAATAGAAGCTTATAAAGAGACTGCATGAGAAAAAGCTTCCTTTGGCAACTAACTGAAGGCCTGTAAAAAAATGATAAAATATATAAACTTTACCTTTTGTGTTAGTTAGCTTTTGCTGCATGACAAAACAACCCCAAACTTGCTGGCTTAAAATAGACCCCATTTTATTTAACTCATGATTCTGTTTAGCAGTTCTTTTTGTCTGGGTTGGACTCACTCCTGTATTTGCAGTCACTTGGCAGGACATCTGGCAGTTGGCTGAGGTAATAGGACAGCTAGGTCATGTGTGTGTGTCTCTCTCATCATCCAGCTGGCTAGCCCAGGCCTCTTCAAATGCTGATTTCAAAAGTAGCAAGAAAGGGCATGCTTCACCTCACAGGCACTTTTTAAACCTCCGCTCACTTCATGTTTACTTATGTTTCACTGGCCAAGGAAGGCACATAGTCAAGCCCAGATTCGGAGATTGGTTAGATAGACTCCATATCTTCAAGGAGGAACAGCATTTTAAAGGCATATAAATATAGAGATGAGAACAATTTGTGGCCATTTTTTTGTATTCTGTCACATTTTTGCAACTTTTTCTTTGAAAATTAAAATCGCCAACAAAATTTTAAAACTCTTGAAATTGTCATCATTCTGCCCCTCTTGTTGACCTTAACTGTCCACTGCCATTATACTTCTTTTCTCTCACAATTACTTGTACATACACACACCTTTCTTTGATCCATTAATATTTTTATTTCCTGAAGCTAAAGATCTGAGTTTATTGTTGACCTAATTAATTAATTCACAGTGAGCTATGAGTAAATAAAATACTTGCCTTTTGGGGGCGCCAGCATGGCTCAGTCGGTTAAGTGGCCAGCTCTTGATTTTGGCTCAGGTCATGACCGTGGGGTCCTGGGATCAAGCCCTGCGTCCAGCTCCCTGCTCAGCAGGGACTCAACTTGAGGATTCTCTCCCTCTCCTTCTGCCCCTCCCCGTTTGTGCTCTCGCTCGCTCTCTTTCTCTCAAACAAATAAAAAAAAAAAAAGACTTGCCTTTCGAAAGGAGCTCATTACTGACACATTTACCATTTGTCTGGTGTTCTTCATTTCTTTGTGTCGATGCAGATTTCTATGTCGTATTTTTCTTCAGTCTGAAGGACTTTAACATTTCTATAGTTTAAGTCTGGTGCTTATAGAATTCTTTTGGTTTTATATGTCTGAAAATGTCTTTATTTCACTTTCATTTTTGAAAGTTATTTACATGGTAAAAGTTCTAGGTTGATAGACTTTTTTCTTTTTCTTTTTTTTTTCCCCCTCTTTCAGTACTTTTGAAGATGTGGCTCCATCTTCTTCTGGTTTTCATTGTTTCTAATGAAAACTTTTTGTCATTTTTAATCTGTGTTCCTCTGTACATAATGTGTCTTTTTTCTCTACCCACTTTTAAGATTTTCTCTTCATTACTGGTTTTAAACAATTTGATTATGATGTACCATGGTGGAGTTTTCTTTTTCTTGTGCTTAGGGCTCATTGAGTTTGGATATGTGAGTTTACCATTCTGATTACAGGATGCCCTGTGAATTGTGAGATTTTTCCACTTTGGTTGGAACATCTAAGACCTTTGTAAATTCTAGGAATTATTCCCTCTGCTCCTTTCAGGTGGTGCCTTCCCCAGACTCAAGACATTTCTTCACATGCATATGCTGATCAGTAAGCAAGCACTTGAAGACTCAGGGATACCTTTACAAGCCTGCTCTCTGAATAGGTCTCTCCCCTCTGATATTCTGCCCTGCAAACTCTAGTCTTTCCAGACTTCAGAAAACCACTAGGCTCTGTCAGTATCTTCCCTCCCCACACTGCAGCCTGGAAAATGTTTCCCTCTCTCAGCAACATGTGCATGATGTTCAGTGTCTGAAAACTGTCGTTTCATATATTTTGTTCAGTCTTTTAGTTGTTTCAGGTAGGAGGGTGAGTCCTGTCCCAGTTATTGTATCTTGGCTAGAACCTGTGGAAATCATTTGGCCTGTTTTTGTATCTCTTCACTTTGTTCTTTCCTATCACCAAGTATATTTGGGTCTGAGAGTTAAATACTCTCTTCAGTTTTTTTGCATCAAGCTGAATATTTCTATTTTTTAACCCTTACACACATTCCCCCTAATACTATATAGTTGATCCTTCATGATCTTGGCCCATAGTAAACAGGATATTTGGAAGAGGGCATGCAATAGGGGTATCTTTCTAAAAGTTGTGGGAAACAGTGTATCTAATGTGAGAATTTTTCCACCAACTTAAGGAATTTCGTTTTTGCATTTTACCATCAAGTGCTCAGTAGGTTTCCTATACATTATTTCAGGTTAATTTTTTAAAAATTCAGAGATACGTAAATGATGTTAAAATTTTGTCTTGATTTAAATTTTTCTATATCCCTATATCTGTAGTATAATTAAATTGTATCATTTCTCTTGATTTGTCTTTACATATATATATCTGATAAATGTGAAAATGGACATTTCAAGTCTTTAGTTAAGATGCAGTCAGAAGGAGAGAAGCCTAGATGTTCTACTAGTTATAACAGTTTTATAGCCAGTCTTTTTAGGTAAGTACTGGATCAGCAGTAGAGACATATTTATTGAGGAGGTCTACAGTTGACTTTTCACTGGCTCGGCTAAGGAAGTAGGACTAAAGCTGATTCTAGGCTTTATACCTTGTTGACTTTTCATTTTGTTTGAAATTCTTTGTGAGATACCCAAATGGCATTTTCAGAACCTTCTAGTCATAAATTCTGATAAAAATTTTATCAGACTATTGATTTTCAGTATTGGTGAACTAAAATCACTAGTGACGGTGGCTCAGTTGGTTAAGCAACTGACTGCCTTCGGCTCAGGTCATGATCCCGGAGTCCCGGAATTGAGTCCCACATCAGACTCCCTGCTCAGCGGGGAGTCTTCTTCTCCCTCTGACCCTCTTCCCTCACATGCTCTCATTCTCTTTCTCAAATAAATAAAATCTTTAAAAAAAAATAAAAAAATAAAATCGCTAGTGACAAAGATAGCAAAAATTGCTTGTATTGGTTGAGGGCTTTTTGGTGTTTATAGTTTTGGGGAATGTATTAAGATCTAAAAGAATAAAAAGGATGAAAAACTGTCTTATCATTATCTTGTACTTTTTTTGTTTTCTTAATTAAAATTTTATCACCTTTTGAAATCTGGGGACATATAAGCAAAGATGTCCTTTATTTAAAGTTGATGTTTTTGTTTGGTTGAATTTAACTCACTCTGAATCCTAATTATGTAGTGACTTGACTCATTTTAAAAGTCTTTGGTTTTGTAAAATACTTTACAACAATACCTTACAGCTGTTGTTACAGTCAGCAGAGCAAGAAAGTAAATAGAGCAGTCAAAATTTCTTTGCTATTAATTGGTATGGATTCTTCAAGTAAAAATTCTTTTATCTGAGATAGTTGTTTTAAACTGGGATGTATAATTTTCTTTTTGTAAACCTGATTTTTTTTCTTCTTTGTTTTTTTTTAAGCAATAGCCACAATAAGAAGGTACAAATGCACATGCTGGACTTGATGAGTTCTATCATCATGGAAGGTGATGGAGTTACTCAAGAATTATTAGACTCCATTCTTATTAACCTCATTCCTGCACATAAGGTCTGTATAATATGAAGATATTAAGAGTTAATGTTTAAAGATAGTACTACACATATGAAAAATAATTTGTAATTTCACATTATTCCACTATCATTTTCGAGCCCCAATAAAATAGTGTAACACACATCAGTCTTAAAATTACTGTTTTTAGAAGATTTATTGATTAATATATATTGTAGAAGATTTTCATTCAGTGAAGTGCTTCCTGTTTTCTGGAACACAAAAATCTTTCACCTTTACCACTTATATGTAATGTGGGAATTAGAGTACTGTCTTAGGTGTTGGTTTTTTGTTTTGGGTTTTTTTGGGGGCAGGGAAGGAAAATGTATTTCCTTCTTTGTAACACAGATGTGGGACATAGGAATTGTATTTCTTCTCAGAATCCATTTTTCTTGGGCATTTTCAGAAAAAGATTTGGGCAGAAGCAGGAACTATATGGTTAATGTTAAGGGGAAAGAGATGATTCACAGCTGTATATTTCTCCCTGTTTCCTTTTTCTCTTTCTTTCTGCTACTTCTTCCTAAGAAACTGAAGGACTTAGCTTTCCACAAGCTCTACGTACTCAGTCATACCTTACTGTTGTTATTTACCCTCCTGCTCTTTTCCTCTAATGGTACAGTGATCAGATGTTAGATGAACGGTCTATCTAATTAACACTTATCTAATAATGCAATTAATTAGAAGTTCTTCTTCTGCCTCCAAATATTATTTGCATTTTATTAATTCAAATGAATCTGTAATTTGCCAAAATTTTGAAAGTATGGCAAAGGTAGGGGGGTGCATGTCAGGCAAAATAAGAGAGGAAAAACAAAGAGGAATAGATAGCATATTTGATGTTTATATTCTAGTTAGTATTTTTATGATTAGGAAATTTATATACCGTTTTAGGAAATAGAAAGGTTGCCTTAATTTTGAGTTAATCTTATCCTTTTGCCAATGGAATAAAATCTTAGAGCAAGGGTCAAGAAGCTATGGCTTGTGGACCAAATCTAGTTCGCTACCTGTTTATGTAGATGAAGTTTTTTTGAATACAGCCATTCTCATTGATTTTCATTTTGTCTGTGGCAGTTTCACACTCAACAGCAGAATTGTGTAGTTGCAGCAGTAACTGTATGACTCAAAAAGCCTAAAATATTTCCATCTGGCTCTTCGCATAAAAAGTTTGTTATTGGGCGCCTAAGTGGCTCAGTTGGTTAAGCGACTGCCTTCAGCTCAGGTCACGATCCCGGAGTCCCGGGATCGAGTCCCGCATCTCGCTCCTTACTCGGCAAGGAGCCTGCTTCTCCCTCTGACCCTCTCCCCTCTCGTGTACTCTCTCTCTCATTCTCGCTCTCTCAAATAAATAAATATTTAAAAAAAAAAAGTTTGTTATTACTCACTGAGAGTATAGAGTTTCCTACTATCTTTTTGGGAGAGGTGCGAGATGATGGTGAATGAATCTCAGTTTGGTCCAAAACTTCAAAGTTTAGAGATGCTGATAGGTACTTATTTTTAAAACAAGAAATCCATTTCCAAATAAGTCTTTAAAAATTGAATATGTCTTTTCTGTGGCCTTTCTCAGACCCTTTAATTTGTTACAGTGGCACTGGGAATCTTGAGAAGCAAACACAGTATTCAGTGTTTCAAAACTGTCTAATTGACCAAGTATTTTTCTTGGAACACTTTCCAGGTGTACTCTTTCCTAGATCACACATTGATTAGACAATGAAGTACTTAGGATAGTGGATGACACAGGGTGTGGGTGTGGGTGTGTGTGTGTATTTAGGATACAGGGGTATAATTGGCAGTTCAAATTAGTTAACAAACCCAAAAAGCCTTAGGTCTGTTTTCAGTTTAGTAAAACTAAACAAAATAAGGGGTTTGGCTTTTGGCTGTCTAATATATTTTAGTTTTTCATTTATAGTGCTATTTGCAACTTCTGCATTTAAGACCACTTGACTAGAGAATATTAGGTAAAACCTTGAATGGGGTTCAGTGATATTTTTTGCTTTATAGTTTGGAGATTTGAAGATTATAGTGTTATCATGGTTCTATCTCATAAATTCACAAATTCATTTGTAACTTGGCATATTTTTATTGTGTTCCAGAACTTAAATAAACAGTCCTTTGACCTTGCAAAAGTCTTATTGAAAAGGACAGTCCAAACTATTGAGGCGTGCATTGCCAATGTATGTATTTCTGTTTATATTTTTTCTGTAATTGTATAATTCTTAATCCATTGTATTAATTTATTGAGACCTTTCACATATAGTTTTGTTTAGCCTATAAACAGTTTCATCTATTTAAAACAAATACATAAAAGAACTGATGTATCCAGATGTGACCAAATGCAGTATAACTATATAAGCTTTGACATTATTTTTAAATGGCATAAGATAGAGAATATTTTATAAAAACTTGTCTACAACTCCCACCCCTCTTTCACTGCCTTTGTATTTATATTTTTCTTTTTATCTCCTGAGTATGCTGATCTCTTTCACTTTCTCCTTTCTTCTTTACCTTTATTTTCCTAGGTCATTCCTCTGAACTTTTTTATTTCTCTCTTAAATATCTGTTGTATATTAATAAAAATACTTTCTTTTACTTTATTGAAGTTTTTTTAACTTAAGAAAATCAATAAAGTAATCTAGAATAAAAAATAATTTATAATTCTTCCTAATATAGCTGTTCATTCCATTATTGCATATTTGCTCACACTCATACCTGTTTTTTTTACATACTCTATATAAAATTTTGAATTGTCTATTTCTGTATTTTGAAATTATTTCTTTATAATATAAATGACCATAAATGTTTCTTTGAATTGATATATATCCATAATTTAACCATTTCCTTATTATCTTGCATTTAGATATTTTCAGTTTTTTCCTTTAATAGTTACCATCTTGAGTGTAGCATTTATCTGTTGTTGAATTATTTTCCACATCTAAAAACCCAAGTGAGAGTATATTAATGGCATAAATTATTAGTATTACTAAATTAATATTTAAACATGGTAAAAGAAAAGTTTCTTTTCACAAAAGAATATATAGTGAAAAGTGTCTCTCTTCAACTCTGGATACCCTATTCTCAGTTCTCAGAAATAACCATTACCAATAGACTTTCAATATATCCTTCCAAAATTGGTGTTTTATGCATAATCATTTGTATATGTGTATTTTTTAATCTTGTTAAAACTTTTATTTTTCCACGGTCTACATAGTAAGAATATTTTCTAACCTTTAATGTATTTTGCTTTTCAAAGTAAATATATTATTTGATGATACTACCAAAAATACATACTTAACATCGGTTATGTGCAACTGCCTCCTTAGCATTTTTAAATTTAGTATTTTTTTCCTCTGTGTGTCTGTGTATTGGCAGGGAATGGAGGTGTCTTTTAATTTGTGCTTTTGATATTCTCTTTGTTTCTTTCTAGCATTCTTTTAAATTACCAGTTAGCTTTTGTATCATCACTTTTTTTCCTTCTTGATACTCTGAGTCAAAATCTATTTGACTTTGGGTATTTAAAAAAAAAAAAAGCCCCCACCTTTAAGTACTTTCTATTACTTTCATGGCAAAATTAGTCAGACATAAATAAAAGGCAGAAAATAAAAGATTGAGACTTTAAAATTTCTCTTATAAGGTAATTTCTCTATAAAATTCTTTATAATGAATTACATAAACTATCAAAGTTGTTTTGTTTTTATGGAAGATTCCTAGAAATATCATCTTAATTTGGAAAACTTTCATAATTAGATATTTAGAGGTTTATTCTGTTTTAATGACTATTCTATCATATATTAGTAATTGAAATATGTTTTGTTTCATCCCCTTCAGTTGTATATGTAATGCCTAATTATATTTTTTTTAGACACGTTTATAAAAAATCTGTCCAAGTTTTTAAGTGAAATGGATATTTTATTTTTGTTTAATATCTCCTTTAGTTTTTCAATCAAGTCCTGGTGCTGGGAAGATCATCAGTAAGTGATTTGTCAGAACATGTATTTGATCTGATTCAGGAACTTTTTGCAATAGATCCTCATTTATTATTATCTGTCATGCCGCAGCTTGAATTCAAACTGAAGGTAGGACTGACTATAATTTTTAAGCTCTTTAAGCTTTAAGAGAAAAATTTATATATAACTTTGTAAAAGATAAATGTTTTACTCTTTAAAAGAATAAAATGTGAGTTCAATTTATCTTTTTACATTTAGTTAAGGTATACATTTTTAATCATTTCAGTAAAACAGTCTCATCTGGGTGTAATAGGAGAATTACATGGGGAAAATTATAACTCTCCTGGTTGTTAAATATCTGATAAACACAGTGACACAAATAATAGATATGAAGAATGATATTATCCCTTATAATACATATTGTTATTAAATAGTATTTATTATTAGGTAGATATACTTTAGAACATCAAAAGATTTCAAACTGAGTGCTCAAAGGATCTTGATTATAACTATATGAACCTTCCATAGTATAGGTCAAGGACAAAAATTTTACTGTGTGACTTGGGGCGTATCTTATTTTTTATAGCCAACTAAACAAGGGATTCATAACTCCTCAAAAAATATGAAAAACTTGACACTCGATCCCCTATCCCAGTTGAACTGTGTGAGATAACAGCTTACATTTGCTTAATATTCTCGACTTTGTGAAAGGCTTTTTATATCCAGTATCTTATTTGATCCTTAAATCAAACTGTGGTATAGTTAGGACCAACATTATAGTTTTGATTTTTGAGATGAAAAATATAAGATGAAATATTTTTTTGCCCAGTTGCACAGTTAAAACAGACTTGAGATTAGAGCTACTATCTTCAGACTCTTTGAACATGTGTACATGATGGTTAAGAATTGTCCATATTGGGGGCACCTGTGTGACTCAGTTGGTGTTAAGCATCCAACTCCTGCTTTCAGCTCAGGTCATGATCTCAGGGTTGTGAGATTAAGCCCCATTGGGCTCTGCACTAAGTGGGGAGTCTGCTTCTCACCCACCACCCCACAAGTGCTGGGCATGGAACCTACTTAAGATTCTCTCTCCTCTCCCTCCCTCCCTCTCCAAAAAAATTAAAAATAAAGAATTGTCCATATTGTCTTTATTATAAATATTTGTCATTTATAGTATAAAAGGACATTATACCAAGCTTCTAAGAAAGTCTGTTATGTGAAAAATATTATATGGAGAACAAGGCTTTGTTTTATTTTTTAATATTAAGAGTTTAATAACAGCCTAAACATGTTTCCATACCAACTTATTTCTAGGTGTAAGGCATTAAAATATTTTCTCTCAATCTCTTCATAGAGTCTGAATATGAAAAGTCACGCCTCTTCAATCCTTAAATAAGATTGCCATGATAGATGGTGGGAAGGAATTGAGAACTAGATTTCTAGGTTTCTGTGTGTGGACTGAGGGAGACACCACCTCAGAGACACCAAATGATTTTTGCACCAAAATCAGTTTACCATCACTATAATCATATTCCAGCCTCACTCAAGGAATATATTTTAAATTTTAAAAAGATAGGAGGCTGAGTTTTCACTCAGTTTCAGTAGTTAAAAATATAGATATAAAATGTCACATCATTTGAAATAATCACTAAACCACTGAAGTAGTCACAAGTAGAATAAAACTTCCACTTATTTTTAGTTTTTGACATTTAAGAGATAGACTGATTTTTCTTTAAAAAAATAAATCATGTTGGTTAGTTGATTGGACTTACTAAAAGGTCCTAATCTGCATTGTTGTCACATTGCTTGAGAAAAACTTTGTCAAAGAAAATCATTTTTGTAATTACAAATGTTAAAGCTTGATACAGTTTTCATTTTTACCCCTTTGATAAGTGTGCCTGTTTTACCCACAAAACCCCTGTTCCTGAAAGATAAGCTATTCATAACAAAGACTATATCCCATGTCCTTTATTTTTTTAAACTGCTGTCTTTTTCCACGAATATTTCTTTATTGGATTTCTGGTATTAGTCTAGACACACGTTGTATATGAATACTTGAAAAAAATAGCAATTGCTTTTTGTTACTCCCTTTATTTTCCTAGTGAATATGTGATTTTTAAAGTTTCACACAGCACATGGTTTCAGAATAACTTAATTTATAGTAAGATGTGACATCACTAGTGAAACTGAAACAATTCATAGCATGTATTGATTCAGGATAAGAAAATTGGAGGCCTTGGGGCACCTGGATAGCTCAGTCGTTAAGCGTCTGCCTTCGGCTCAGGTCATGATCCCAGGATCCTGGGATCGAGCCCCGCATCTGGCTCCCTGCTGCGCAGGAAGCCTGCTTCTCCCTCTCCCACTCCCCCTGCTTGTGTTCCCTCTCTGGCTGTGTCTCTCTCTGTCAAATAAATAAATAAAATCTAAAAATAATAATAATAATTTTTTAAAAAATTGGAGGCCTTTATCAAAAAAAATTTCAAACTAAGTTTTGATTTTTTTGTAATGTTCAGTTTAGCTGACCTTTTAGCTCTTCTTAACATTCTTGTTCTTCTATTAAGATAAGTTTTCCCAGGGGTGCCTGGGTAGCGCAGACGGTTAAGCATCTGCCTTCAGCTCAGGTCATGATCCCAGGGTCCTGGGATCGAGCCCCACATCAGGCTCCTGGCTCATGGGGGAGCCTGCTTCTCCCTATCTCTCTGCCTCTCTCCCTGCTCATGCTCTCTCTCTCTATCTCTGTGTCTCAAATGAATAAATAAAATCTTTTTAAAAAAATGAGTTTTCCTGAATCATGATATTCTTCAGTGTTATGTTCTCCAGTAAGTTAGGGAAATCCTTTTTTTTTTTTTTTTTTTAAAGATTTTATTTATTTGAGATAGAGCGAGAGTGAGGAAGCCAGAGCACGAGCCAGGGGAGGGCAGAGGGAGAGGGGGAAGCAGGCTCCCCGCTGAGCAGGGAGCCTGATGTGGGGCTTGATCCCAGGACCCTGAGACCATGACCCGAGCCGAGGGCCGGGGCCCCAGGGGGAGCCTTGATTAAAATTTCATATGTCAAAACCTTAGATGATATAAGTTTATGTTGGAGCCTCAAATAGCAGGAAAGATTTCTTATAAGAAGACTTACTAGGATGGGGGGCTCCTGAGTGGCTCAGTCGGTTAAGCACTCTTGATCCTCAGGGTTGTGAATTCAGGCCCCACATTGGGCTCCACAATGGGTGTTGAGTCTACTTAGAAAGAGAAAAAATTTATTAGGGTGGGAGTTATTTGCAGCTTTGCCCTTCACAGAATTTTTTCTAAGCTCTTAGGGAATGTTAGAATTGAATGATTATCTTCATGTTTCTACAATGTCTGGGTAGATTGCAAACAAGCACTGAAAATTAGCAGTTGGAGGGGGTGTGAAATAAGAGCAAAGAACCAGACAGTCTGACATGGAATCACATCAATTTCCACATAATAAATGAGAGCATATGATATTTTAAAGTTCTCATCATTGTAAGCGGAAATACGAAACTATAGCTTCTCAGGAATGATTCATGTTGTTTTCTGTAATCTGATGAATAAACCTTGGCTTCATTTATTTTCTCTTTTTCCTTAGAGCAATGATGGAGAAGAGCGATTAGCTGTTGTTCGACTTTTAGCTAAATTATTTGGTTCTAAAGATTCTGATTTGGCAACACAGAATCGTCCTCTTTGGCAGTGTTTTCTTGGACGGTAAGAGAACATACAATTCTATGGATTCTAACTTTTATGTTTTGGAGGCCAGTCAGTATGGTCCATTTGATTAAAACCACACATATCAAAACTTTGATTGATATGTGGGTTTTTTTTTTAGTATCTGTGTTGCTGTCTTGGAGAATAAATTGTAGATCAGATTTTTTATGAAGAATGATTATTTACCACATAACACTTTTTAATCTTTCTGTGCTACAATAATGTCATTAGAATAAATAGATAGGCAACATCTGAGAATGTTCCATCTTAAGATTTTTAAATTATGAGACTGAAGACATAATGATCCAGTCCATGCCGTTCTTCAGTCCAGCAGTGTATTCATTTACTAGTGTTTATTGTTTAGGTCTGTAGCTTATCTAATTGAACGATGTATGTTATGAACTAATTTGGTATTATGGTATGATTTTGAAATTGAAAATAACATTGCTCTTCATTCAGATAACTTTTAATGTTCCTTCTCAAGAACTTAGAATTATTAGGATCTATTCAACTTGATGGTAAGGTTGAAAAATCTATGAAATTTATCAGATACATTCCATTTACATGTTTCTTGCTTCAAACCATGAAAAGTCAATTTTTACTGTTAGTATTCTGGAGAACTTTTAGGTTTATCATTGTTTAATTCACCTGATTCAGAAGGTGGGCCTAGAAATTTTCTTAAAGTAAATTCATTATAATAATCCCAAGTTAGATTTGTCAGTTATTTTTTTTTTTAAAGATTTTATTTATTTATTTGACAGAGATACAGCAAGAGAGGGAACACAAGCAGGGAGAGTGGGAGAGGGAGAAGCAGGCTCCTGGCTGAGCAGGGAGCCTGATGCGGGGCTCAGTCCCAGGACCCTGGGATCATGACCTGAGCCAAAGGCAGACGCTCAACGACTGAGCCACCCAGGCGCCCCTTGTCAATTATATTTTAATATTTGAAAAATCTCTGACACTGACAGTCTTAATTTGCTCAGAACAGGCCATTTTGAAGGTTTGTAAAATGCTATTTTGGATAATTAAACTTGATTTTATGAGAACTTGGAACGAAGCAACTCTATTTGTCAATAAGCAAGAGGAGTGATTCTGTCCTTGTGATTGCCTTGATGTTTATAGCAAAACAATTACTTGTAAAAACTAAATCAACTGAAAGAGACTTCTTATATTCATAATTTTACATTCACTGCCATTTCTAATCAGTCTCCAATTCATTGAAACAAAGATATGTTACCAGTGTATCTGTTTTACTGTATTATTTTCTTTAATTATTTAGCAATAAGTGTTTTGATACTTTGTAATTTAGTTTATCATAAATGGTAATGTTTTCATTTTTCTCTGGCAGAAAATTTATAAATCCTAAATGCAAGATTTATTAAAGTAAAATTATTGTAATTTTAACCTTTATATAAGAAAGTAAGAAAAAAGTAAGATGTATTTAATTTTTATTTATTAACTATCTATTTTATTTTTATTTATTAAGACATTTATTGGGGCACCTGGGTGGCCCAGTCAGTTAAGCATCTGCCTTCAGCTCAGGTCATGATTCTGGGATCCTGGAGCATAGTTGCTCCCTGCTCGGCGGGGGGAGTCCGCTTCTGCCCTTCCCCTGCTTGTGCTCTCTCTTTCTCTCACTCAAATAAATAAAATCTTTTTTAAAAAAGACATTTATTATAAAACTTTTAATTGGTTATTTTATGAGATTACTTTAAAAATAAAAATATTTCTTGCTAAAACAGATTATTTATAATTAACAAATGTTTCTTAAATTGCCCATAATAAATGTTAAATTTAAGAGTTGTTAAGTTTACCTTTATTTGCAGTTTTGGATCTACGTGTGGTGTTTCATATTTATTGCATTTTTACAATATACTCAAGCTTTACAAGAGTACTTTAATACAAGTTCGTCCCAGGAGATGAAACTTTTCCATTGTAAAGCAGTTTCATAACATGCATTTTATGAACTTAGCTTTGAACTTCTGGATCTGCTTCTCATATGATTTGCTCTCTACCTCTTATTCCTCCAGTATTTTCCCCCATAAACTTTTTTCAAGTAGATTTTGTAGATTTTAAATATTTATTTTTTGTTTTGTGTCATAATTAGGCTCTTAAATTTGGGGCTCTACAAAGTACGAAGTTTGGGTTGGGGATATGTTTATACTTTTGTTTGTTTTAGCATGGTAAACATTCTGTTTTCAAAAATGTTTTTTGGAACTACATATCTTTTTATATTCTCCCTTAACATATTGTCATTATAAAATAATCAACACACTTTTTAATCAGTAACTGTTGTTTATAGGCACTTACCTACTGTAGATATATCTTATTAGAAAATAATTATTTTGCCTTAAAACTAATCTTTAGCAACCTTTTCCATGTAGATTTAATGACATTCACGTTCCTGTGAGATTAGAAAGTGTGAAATTTGCCAGTCACTGTTTAATGAATCACCCAGATTTAGCAAAGGATCTCACAGGTAAGCTGGCTGATTTATTATAAATATGAGAGTAATCACACGAATATATTTTAGGTGTGGACTTTGACCTTAAATTTAGTATCTGAATAAGTTTTAACTCTGGCACTATTTCAGATTTTTATCAGTCCTGGACTGATAAATGATTTCATGTTTATACAATAAAATTACACTTGAAACCTTCATATTGTAATCTTTTAGAATTTTTTGGAAATCATAGTTTGAGGAAGTAGACATTGGGTTTGGGCACAAATCATTATACCTATGTGATAATTAAATATAGTAACATAATCTAATAATAACCCAGAAAGTGATTATCTCCTGGAGTAGACTGGAATTTCTCATTCTTCACTTGAACATAGAGCGCTTGAACCTGCTTATTTGGTATTGGCAAATAAATGCTTTTATCAAAATGCTGTTTACCAAAAAAGAAGAAACATTTTTTTGTTTTGGTTTTGTTTGTATTGTAATTATTTAGGAATCTTTTTTAGAGGTCATAGAATGTTATTCTGTATTTTGTATTGTGCAATGTACAGAAATACACCTGTCAGCAAACTTGCTATAAGCATTTTTACCATTTTTCTTTTAATTCTTTTAAATTGTATTATAACTTATTTTCTGAATATATAAATCAGATATTTTGTTGTGATTTGACTTATCCAGAACAGTTGAGGTAAAATACATTATTTATTAAGATGTGACTCCAGTAGTAAATAGCGTGGTATAGTTTATTTTGTGATTCTGTAGGGTATTGCCACCTTAAAAATAAAATGATTTTAATTCATGCCACATTTTACAAACATTGTTTCAGTATGGATAGAAGCCTAAAGCATTAGTCTTTTCCGTCATTCTGAACATGACAAATAACACAGCTAACATTTAGCTTTAGTTTTTTTCTCTTATTACAGAATATTTGAAAGTTAGATCACATGATCCCGAAGAGGCTATTCGTCATGATGTCATTGTTACTATAATAACAGCTGCCAAAAGAGACCTTGCCTTAGTAAATGATCAGCTACTGGGCTTTGTAAGAGAAAGAACACTGGATAAACGGGTAAAATCTGAGGAATTTTATTCTTTTGTTATTTACTATATTTAAAGTGTTTGCTAGGGGCGCCTGGGTGGCTCAGTTGGTTAAGCGACCACCTTCATCTCAGGTCATGATCCCGGAGATTCTGGGATTGAGTCCCGCATCGAGTCTGCTTCCCCTTCTGACCCTCTCCCCTCTCATGCTGTTTCTCACTCTCGCTCGCTCGCTCGCTCTCTCTCAAATAAAATCTTAAAAAAATAAAGTGTTTGCTAAAGACAATAGAAATTATTTCTAAAGTTTTATTTTACCTTTTCACTTACTAGTTTCAAAAGAATAGTGAGTGATCACCTATGTTTTTTTCTTAATAGTTAACATTTTCAAAAGTGACCGTGTATAAACTTAGCTGGATCTGTCATTTATTGGACTAAAAGAATATCATACTTTATATGAAAGTGATACTTGTATAGTGCTGTGCCAAGCTAAGGGCTGAAGTGATAGTTGTATGTTCAGATACTTTTTTGTGTGATTTCCTGTCTGTGGTCACAGTTAAAAACATGGTTTAATAAGGAAGAGTAGTACGAAGAACAACAAAAGCTGTTGCTAAGTAATAGTGTCAACTGTAAGCAAGAGACAGACATGCAAGGCAGGCTGATTAGACATCTTATTAACATCTTTAACAAAAGTTACCTTTGCAGTGTGCTATTTTTTTTGAGGCATGGTTGAAAACACACTGTCCTCATAAAACCAGTGTCCTTGGGGCGCCTGGGCTCAGTCGGTTAAGCGTCTGCCTTTGGCTCAGGTCATGATCCCAGGGTCCTGGGATCAAGCCCCGCATCGAGCTACCTGCTCAGTGGGGAGCCTGCTTCTCCCTCCGCTCCCCCTGCTCGTGCACGCTTGCTCTCTCTCTGACAAATAAATAAATGAAATCGTAAAAAAAAAAAAAAAAAGCGTCCTTTAGCAATAGTTTCAGAGTAAAATTCTATTTTTCTTGGTTATAAAATACAGCAAGAGGTATTCTTTAAGTTCTTTCTAAATATTTTGTTAGAGGAGGCAAGTATATCATGTGGGCACTGTTTAACATGTTCAACTGTATCAGTGATTATAACTTTGAACAAGTTTTTCCTCTTGGCTTTAATTTAAATGAAATGACGCTCTACCTAGTGGTTAGCTGGTAACTCTCCCCCCGCCCGCCCCCACCTCCATACCTCAATTTAAGGTATTACCATTTGTGTTACTTCCTCCTTTTAGAAACATTTCACTCCTGCTTCTACTAATGTTTGTTTATAGTTTCTGAAGGAGTTGAATAAATGAATCTTCCTGAGGCTGCATGATATGGTCATAATAGCATCTACTGGATATTTTTTAGGATCTGGATTTTGGTGCAGTAAATTAGATGACCTTGTGTATAGCCTTTCTGAAATTTGTTTTCTCCCCTATAAAATGTGGGGACAGGACTTAATCTTAGATTTCACTGCTTACAGTCTTTGGTTTCATGTGAGAAATGTCAAAGGCATCTGTTACCTGTTATATGGGAACAAAGTTTCATTCCATCTAAATAGCCTAAAAATGAGGAAATTATACAAAAGATTATAAAGAAATATTAATGTAAATAAACCAAAGATCGTATGCTCTGATTTGTTATTGAGACAAATATCTTTTTTTTTAATTACCTCTCACTGTCATGGTTCTAACTGTAGGTTTTTATAGTCTCCTTTTTCATCGACCTTCTTCCTGCCACCTTTCTTTCCTCCTAGCAAACTGTTCCAGTCTCTGGAAGTCCCAAAGAGTCTTCTTCCACTAACTAGTATGTGGCTAGGTAAATCATTTGCCCTTTTAATCTATAAAGTAAGGAAATTCACTTAAAATGATCACTAAGGTTCTTTCCAACTTCATAATTCTAGGATCTTGATACTAAATTTTGTTTTTATTCTGAGTTAATATCAAAAGGAATGTAATTAGGATAAAATATTCCAGATGATAGGGCTTTTGGTTGCAGAGTAAATCACACTTTCTCTTTTACCTTTTATATCTTTTAAAACTTGGGCAATTTTTTTTAGACAGAATCTAATGAAATCATCTGTAAGATTTACTACCGATTGCTTGGCTGTGAGTGAAATAAAAAATTTGTAGGTGATTTAGTAGTATTTGCATTCGACAATTTTTAAAATAGTCTGATTTATAAATACAAATGTACTCAAAATTGTTGGTAAAGCAATTTGTTGTGTCTTAGGAAAATAAATGCTATGCCAGCTTATGTACATATGATTGTAAAACCTAGTGAAGAAATGCCAGTTTGTATACCAAAGTTTGGTATCTCGCTCATTCAATAAACTTTATACTTTTTAGTGGCGAGTAAGAAAAGAAGCTATGATGGGTCTGGCTCAGCTTTATAAGAAATACTGCCTTCATGGTGAAGCGGGAAAGGAAGCTGCGGAGAAAGTCAGCTGGATAAAAGACAAACTTTTGCATATTTATTATCAGAATAGCATCGATGACAAGTGAGTCTGACATGTTGGTAGAATGGTTGAATATAAAAGTGCTTTTAATTTTTTGACATATAATAACTTTTTAATTTTTTAATTTCTAAATTTGGAAATCACTTTCTGCCTATTTATACATTCTATGTTTAAATAAGACTCTGGCACAAATTGTCAAGTAGTAGCATCATTAGTGAAGTAGGTATGGACTTTGGAGTCAGACCAGAGACCAAATGTTCATTCTGCCCCTTATTAGATGCTGCTTCTGCACAACTGACTTCTGTGCACCTTGGTTTTTTCTAAAAAGTAATAATAAAGCTTTCCATGCAAGATGGTCATGTGGATTAAATAAAAAATGAATGTAAAGCTCCCTAACCCAATGCCTATCAATATGGGACTATTCAGTAACTGCTAGTTATTATTTTTACTTTTTTGCAACACTGTAAGTATCAATAGAGGAAGTGCTATGGTGTTTTTTTATTGAGGTATAATCGACACATAACATTAATTTCAGGTGTATAAACATAATGATTCTATATTTGTATATATTGGGAAAAGATCACCACAGTATGTCAACTTAACATCCATCCCCATATTTAGTTACAAAATTTCTTTTCTTGTGTTAAGGACTTACATTGTTTTCATTTTTTGAATGTTACTTGTAATTCTATATTGGGTTGTAGTAATGATTTTGGTTTTTGCAAAGTACTTTGCAGTGTTTTATAGAATTAGACTGATTATTTCAGCATCACTGGCTGTGTATTTCATTGATTAATGAGGATTTCTTGTATTGACTTATTCTAATGGTTCTGGATAATAAATATAAGCTTAGCAAGAAGGTTATTCCAGTATCGTTAAGGAATTTAAACTGTGGTGAGAAGAGAGATCAGATGTGCACAGGAAAAGCTAAATTTTCAGGAAGTAATATGAAGGAAAATCCCCCTGATTTTATTAAATGACAACATGGGAAAGGAGTTGGATTGTAATTGGAGGAAATTAATGTTTTTGTGGAGGGGGGGTTGGTTGTGGATTTGGGTTTTTTGTTTTGTTTTTTTGAGAATTAGCTGTTCTTGATTGTAGCTTTATATGTAGTGTTAAGTAATTTCCTATACCTCATGACTGATGAAGAATAGCTGGAACAGCCTAGCAGCACCCTGTGTTTAGGGATAACATATAACCCTTTTAGAACAAATGTTCCATACTGACAAAAACTAAAGCCACAAATAGCAACCACAGCTCTAAATTTTAAAATAACTATACTCCAGGGTGCCTGCCCGTCTCAGTCAGTAGAGCGCTCAACTTGTGATTTCATGAGTTCAAGCCCCACGTTGGGCGTAGAGATTACTCAGAAACAAAACAAAACAAAACCAACAACAATCAGATAAAAACCATACTCCAAGGAAAGGAACCGGTCACCTACTAATCTTTTCCATTGTATTTACACATATAGGTCTGGTATCTTTGCATGAGATGGTTAAAATATAAAAGGGCTGTTGCTTCTGAAAAAAACCAGAATAATTGTTATTGGGATTTTTTTGTTTCATAGACTGTTGGTAGAGAAAATCTTTGCACAGTATCTTGTCCCCCACAACCTGGAAACAGAAGAGAGAATGAAATGCTTGTATTACTTATATGCTAGTTTGGATCCAAATGCTGTCAAGTAAGTTACTTTTTAAATGATTGTTTGGAGTTAAAGATTTTGTAAAATTACCTTATCTAATTGTTGATAGGGTTGTTGCTTCTTCTAGTTGAATCAAAAACCTCAGGGGCGCCTGGGTGGCTCAGTCAGTAGGGTCCGACTCCTGATTTTGGCTCAGATTTTGCAACAGGCTGGGCATGGAGCTTGATTAAGATTCTCTCTTTGCCCCCCCCACCCCGCCGCACTCACAGATGCTTTCAAGAAAGAAAGAACCTTAGATAAATGTTTATACAGAAAAATTTATAAGTTTAGATAAATTAAAAGCAAAAAATATTCCTATATGCGTAGACTTATTTGGCAACTGAGTCAATAATACCGTTTCAGGGATTCAAAGAAATCCCCATGTCAAAATTACTTTTTTCTACCTATTCACAGGGATCTAAATTACACTATTGGAGCTTTACAATACTAATCCTAAGAACTAAATACTGCTTCTTAATCAGAAAAGTATATTGAGATCACCTCTGTATAGAATGACCATGTGATTGGTTGTCTGAACCAGGATATTTTTGAAACTGAAAGGCACTATTAATATTTTTCATCAGGCAATTGGCCTAAACTTTAACTGTCCCAGGCCAACTAGGATGTGTGGTCACTCCACTGTAATAAAGCTTTTTAAAAAAGTAAACACGTCCCGTCACTCACTAAGAATTCTGATTCTTCTGAAAAGAACCTCAGCTTGTGTGTGTATTATTATAATATGTGTATATTATATTTTATGTATTTGTTTTTTAACTTTCATATAATTTCAGCCTTACAGAGAAGTTGCGGAAATAGTACAAAGCATTTTACCCAGATTCAGCATTTGCTTTATCACTTTGCCATTTGCATATACTTTTTCTTTACATAAATATTTTCTTCTGAACCATTTGAGAGTAATTTGCAGACGTTAGATCCCTTTACCCCTAAATATTTCAGTGTATATTCCCTAACAAGGATATTCTCTTATATGACCAGAGTACTCTTATCAAGAGATTTAACATTGATACAATATTATTGCCTAATGTGTATTTAAGTTTCCTCAGTTCCAGTAATGTGCTTTATGGCTTTTTTTTCCTTTCTGGGATTACAGATTGTATATTTCATTGTCATGTCTCTAGTTTCTTAATTTGGAACCATTTCTCGGTCTTTGTCTTTTACAACTTTGATGTTTGGGGAAGAGTATTGCATGGTCCAGTTCAATTTTGTAGAATATTTCCTCAGTTGGGGTTCATCCAGTGTTTCCTCATTAGATTGGGATTATGCATTTTCAGCAGAAATTCTACAGCGGTAACATTGTATCCTTAGTGTATTATATTAGGAGGCGTTAGCCATCATTTTTTTTTTAATTTTGCAGGTGATTCCTAATGCTCACCCTACATAGTAAATCCCTAGCCTAAGGTTTTGGTCTCTTTATGTTTCAAAATATTGGCAAATAATACTCCAACATAGACTAATGTCTCAGAGATCCCTCTGGGCACCTGGAATTATGGACTGGGTTTGTGAGAGAAGAAAATCTGCTTTCATGGAGAGAAGTGTAGAATAATAAACACACTCAAGTTAAATTTGGTGTCTTGAATCTACATCATTTCTAAGAAGTTTATTTCTGCAGCCCTTCATGAATACCTCTTAGCCTGCCATGAAAATGCCTTTATGATCTGATCCTTTTCTACAGTATGTTCCAGCTTCCTAATGCTACTTCATTCACACTCTTTGCTCCAAATCTGTAAAAAAGAGTTTTTTAAGTTACCTATCCCAGGTATTTTGATGACATTTTATCTTTTTTTTTGTACCAGAACATTCTAGTTTCCTCTGCTTAGAATGTCTTTCAGTCCCCGGGCGCCTGGGTGGCTCAGTCCATTAAGCGTCTCCCCTTGGCTCAGGTCATGATCTCAGGGTCCTGGGTTCAAGCCCCACGTTTGGCTCCCCGCCCAGCAGGGAGTCTGCTTCTCCCTCTCTGCCCCTCCCCCCAGCTCATACTCAAGCTTTCTCTTTCTCTCTCTCTCTCAAATAAATAAAATCTTTTCTAAAAAAAAATGTCTTTCAGTCCCCATTTACCTAGAAAGATCCTATTCATCCTTCTAAATTTCTCAAATATTTTCTCTTCTAAGAAGTCTTTTATTTACTACTTTAAACTAACCTGTCTTAATCCTATAAATAAGTGCTGGTGCTTAAAATTTTAGGTAAATGTAGAAGCATGGTGATCTATCCCATGCAACAAGAAAAGTAGTAAAGTTGAATAATTACCAGATTGTTATATTACATTTTTTTTTCATATTTATAACTTTATTAACAGAGCTCTCAATGAAATGTGGAAGTGTCAGAACATGCTTAGAAGTCATGTACGAGAACTATTGGATTTGCACAAGCAACCTACAGTAGGTTCATGATTTGTTTAAATTAATAGTTTGTTATGGTCATTATTCAGTTTTTATGTAGTTACATATAACGAAGCAAGTAAAAACTGTTTCAAGTGTTTTCCAAATGTCGGTTACACATAATTTCTCTAGTTTTCCAAGCTAAATTTTAACTGTAAATGAATATAACAAAATCTTCTTTTCTAGCATGAACAAAGAAATGGTAATTTCTAGTTTATCATTTCAGATACTACGAATTTACACATGGTTCATCAATTTTCAAATAATTAGAATTAAACATCAAGATAAAATTTTTATGAGAAATCATGATTTTTTTTACTCCATGATTTTGGGTCCTTCAGTGTAGTCAGTATCAAATTTAGGTACCAATTCTATAAATATGGCAAAGTCAAATTAACAAAAAAAATTTTGCCCAGTGTCTTCTGGAAAATGGGGGGAAAGAAACTTGAATAATTTCTTAATATACTTCTAAGTGTGTTTGCTACTAGAATAAGTGTTCTTAACTAGGAAATTATAGACAGAGACCCTTCAAGGGTCTATTGATGCTAAAGCAAGGGTTGGCAAAATTTTTTGTAAATGATCAGATTGTAAAAACTTAGGCCTTACCAGCCATAAAGTCTAGTGAACTGTTCAACTCTGCCTTTATAAAATTGCAAAAGCAGTCATAGACAATATGTAAGTGAACGAATGTGACTGTTTCTGCAAAACTTGAACAATTACAGATGGTCCATGGGACCATAGTTTACCAATTTCTGATCCAAATTATTCAAATTTCATACAAATTTAATAATGTAATAACTTTATTGTGCTGTCCATACAGAATTACTTTTTGGGAGGCAGGTTATTTAAGTAATAGGCCACAAAATAGTTAATAGAACTATTCAGGAAGAAGTTTTTTTCTACTCGTCACATTTTTAGTTAATTTTCTTTGATGTATGGTTTCACAGTAATTTTGATATGATAATTGTTTCAATTATCTTCAGTTCAGTCTGGTGGCTAGTGTGTGGTGTTTTTTGTTTTGGTTTGGTTTGGTTCTTATTTTTTTCCTTTAAAAATGTGTAATTGGATTTTCTTACAGAAATTTGGTAGCAAATATGACTTCTTTTGTTTTTGTTTTAAATTTCAGTCAGAGGCTAACTGTTCTGCCATGTTTGGAAAACTGATGACCATAGCAAGTGAGTTTGTTTATCCACTCCATATGTATATAATAAACATCAAAACAGACAATTTACATAATGGGACTGTCAATTTAATACTAAGTAAGAGAAAATAATCCTCTTAATTTTATTTCTAAGAACCAGTTAGGCTGATTGTTTTTTGATAGCTCAGCATAATTTTTAAGCTTGTTTTTAGTTTAGTAGTTTTTATTTTATAATACTGATTCTCTTTCAATTTTATAGAGAATTTGCCTGACCCTGGGAAAGCACAAGATTTTGTGAAGAAATTTAACCAGGTTCTCGGTGATGATGAGAAATTGCGGTCTCAGCTGGAGTTATTAATCAGCCCAACCTGTTCATGCAAACAGGCAGATGTTTGTGTGGTTAGTAAATTATACTTCTACATGTGTTCTTTTAGCTTTGCTTTTTGAAATTTATATTTCATTAAAGTCTGCTTTACATAAATTATTTGTGTTAATTTAACAATATTGTGAACTCTAAATTACCCAGGAGTATATCTGTGGTCAGCTTAGCTCTCTTACCACTGTTTAACCAAATTCCAGGAAAAACACTAGAGAACTAAGCCAGGGAGTTTGGTCCTAGGAATTGAGCAAAACAGTATGCTTTGTATTTAGTAGACGTTTGTTAAGTAAATAGAATTTTCTAAATGCTTATGTGTGTATGCTTTTTCTTCACTCATGTATTAGCATGGAAATAACCCTTGTCAATAAATTAGCAACAGTTACATTGCCATATATGCATTTATAGATAAGGTAATTCCTTTTTAGGCTTTTGTCTTCATTCTATTCCTGGATTCTTTATTTTATAGAAAACCAGTATTCATTGAAAATATCAGGAAGGAAAACTTCATCCATTCATTTATACAGCATTTTATGAGAGTTTTGTGTTTGAATTTCAGCTATACCATTTACTACCAGTGTGACCTTTAGTAAGTTCTTCAATGTTTTGTAGCCTCATTTTTCTCATCTATAAACATTAAAAAACTCATAGGATTGTTAGAAGATTTTGTGTGTGTATCTGTGTATATATATCCTAATACCTGGCCCAGCACTGCCCTTTAGGATTTAAATTGTATTTCTGTGGTATTACATATGTTACAACCATTATGTTTGGGACCAGGCTTACAGAGCTGAATAAGAGCAAAGAAAATTATTTCAGATATTTATGTCTAACTTTGTTCTAAAAAGAATTAGAGTGCAATAATTATTTGTGTGTTAAAGGGATGAGGACTATAATAGATGTATATACAAAGTGGTCTGAGAGCATGGAATAGTTATTTTTTTTTACTCATTCTAGGGATATTAGGTCTCTAAGTGGATTTAAAAAAAAGGATTAGGAAGAGAAGAGGGGAAGCTAATTTAGGGAAGAGAAGAGTGGACTCTTCTCTTGGGTCTAGGGATGAGGATATGCCAAGTGCTGGGTGGTTTGCTGAAAACAGTTAAAGGTTGCATTTATGTCTTTGGCATTTAGGATTCTAGTTCCAGAGTACTGTGTCCTACAGGGTCTCTACTAATATAATTGGGTCATAGGATGAAATATTTTGAAAAGACCTTAGAAATAGTTGGTTTAGAGGCACTTGAGTGGCTCAGTCAGTTAAACGTCCAACTCTTGATTTCGGCCCAGGTCATGATCTCAAGAGTCATGAGATGGAGCCCCATGTCGGGCTCAGCGCTCAATACAGAGTCCTCTTGAGATTCTCTTTCTCTCTCGCTCGCTCACTCTCCCTCTCCCTCTGTGCCTCCCCTGGCTTACATGCGTATGCTTGCTCACTCACTCTCGCTCTCTCAAATAAATAAAATCTTTAAAAAAAAGAGTTGGTTTAACCACTTCATTTTACAAATAAAGACATTGGATTAAGGTTTCTCATCCAGTATTTTATAGCTGGTGATAGTGGCTGAGCTGCAGGTAGCGTCTAGATCTCATAGGTCCTCAGTAGTGTTTTTTGTATACATTCCATTGTTTGTAGGAAGATCCAGTACAAACTGAGTACTGCTCAATAAATGACCTTGAGAAAGAACAATCAAGTGGTGTTTTTGGTCTGAGAAGACAGAAATTGAGCGTGAGTTTGGGAAAATGGCAATAACATGAATTCCTAATATTTGTCAGACCATAAATACCTAAGAGTTTCCAAATCCAAAAAGTATATGCAAAACAGATGTTTGTAACCAAAATATCTCAGGATGAATACCACAGCCATGCAGTGCAGCCAATCAGCACTCCTGATTTTAGCAGTTGAAAGTAGAGATGAGGACCACAGTTGCACTGGAAAGAGCATGGTAATGATACCTTTTTGCGGGGGGGGGAGGTTATTCTGAAGATATTTTAAGTAATGGTCCACAGAATAGCTAATAGAATTCTATTCTAGAAGAAAAAATTTCTGCTATTCATGTTTTTTAGTTTATTTTATTTGGTGGATGTTTCACAGTAATTTTTGGCTTTTACATTAGCATTGTGTAGTCTGAGCACATTATTTAACATTATCTATGTATTCTTGAGTATACAATAGGATTTATAGTACCCTTTAAACACTCAGGAAAATGACCGCTGTTAGAAGAGTTTTTGCTGTTTTCCAGAATATCTGTATCATTTTGTCTTTCTCCGCAAGGGCTGCTGGTACTAGTTATATATACCCTCTAGTATCACATCCCTCTTTTCCTGACAGTTTCATTCTGAAGTTGAAGAAAAGAATAAAGAAGAAGTATGCAAACATAAAATTCAGTTTCTGTCGCTCTATGTAGCTTTCATTCTTTCTCTGAGAGTCCCTCTCTGTCCCCTGCTAATGTGTATATACTACCACTTCCTTTTTTTCTAAATGACAGTCACTTCTCAAGAGGTGAGCATTACTCATTAACAGAATTTGTGGGAATGGAGATCAAATACTTTGAGCATGGAATAACAATAGACACATACTGTGGATTAATACATATATACATGATGCTATAGTAAGAGAGGATGAGCAGTCTATTCTATGTGCCGAATAGATTTGCTTTTTCTTTGGACTTCAGGTTTTGAGTTTCCACACCTTGGTTCTAGAGAAGGATCACATATTTGCCATAGCATGAGCTCTGCTTGCTATTTTTTGCTCTAACACCTCCCTATGACCTAAATTTCAAGATTTTCCAAGAAGTTTATTAATTGAGCATTTGAGAGTGTCCTAGGTTTGAATTTCAGCTAGACCATTTTTTGCCATTGTGACTGTTAGTCACTCAATATTTCTGAGCTTCCTTTTCTTCATCTATAAATATTATCAAGATAAAATTTTACGTATGACTTAATACAAGACCTCTTGCACTGCCTTATAAGATGTAAATGAAAAGTAATTCTTATGGTATTACATATGTATGACAAACACTAGGAATTCTTAAAATAAGTAGAGAGGGATCCTTAATCTCCATCTTTTTAACAGTCTCAAAGTGATGATGATAAAAGTCATTCATGGACCACACCTTAAAAAACCCTTCCCTACAAGGTTATCTGAATATGCATTGTATCTTCTGAAGGCCAAATTTTGGGTTGTCCCTTGATCAAGTCTACACCATTATAATTCACTGTGTAATTTAGTAAATTGTATTATACATGGTCTCTCACTGCGGTTGCAGTTTAGATGACAGAAGCAGGCAAATATTTCAATAGAGAATACAGGGTGGTAAGTATTCTGATAGAATCATGCACTTTGGTAACACAAAGGAACAGCAGCCGTCCAAGGCCTGGGTGGAAATGGGAATAGCTTATTCTAAAATAAGTGATTCCTGAATCGAATCTTAAAGGATGAGTAGGGATTAGACCACTACATCAAGAATGACAGCTTGAGTGATGGGTTGTCAGAGAAGATGTTTGAAGGGTAGAAGATAACGATGTGTGGCCTCACAGCAGTTGTGTTTAGAAATCTGAAATTTAAGACTGGTTGGTATATATTAGCATAGGTATAGTTCCTGGAGGAGGTAGAGAAGAAAACGAAAGGGGAGAGAGATGCTAACTTACGCTATTTACTAACAATCATCAAGTGCTTCCTGTTTTCCTTTCATTCCTTTCTATGGTTCAGTGAGAATGATATAAGGTGTGATGTGATTTATAGTAAGAAATATATATTTGGTCTTTGTCCCCCATTTCTGGCGCAGAACTAAAACTCATCCTAAGTCCTGAGAGTTGCAACAGTGTCTTTTGTCATGTTAATGAGGTGCCTTTGGGAGCTCAGCTAAGGGTGGGGACTGGTTCCCTGTGTAGCCAATCACATGATTAGAGGATTGGAACTGTCAGTCTACCCTCTGACACCTGGGAAGGGGAGAGGGGCTGGAAATTGAGTTCAGTCACCAGTTGCCAGTGATTTGATCATCAAACCCATGTAATGAAGCCTCCATTAAAAACTTAAAAAAGACAAGATTCAGAGAGGCTTCCGGGTCGGTGGACATGTGGAGATTGGGGGTGAGGGACAGGCTCACAGAGGGAATGGGAGTTCCCTGTCCTTGCCACATACCTTGCCCTGTGTATCTCTTCCATCTGGCTGTTCCTTAGTTCTGTATCCTTTTATAATAAACCAGTAATCTGGTAAGTAAATTTTGCTCTGAGTTCTGTGAGTTGCTCTAGCAAGTTCATCAGACCCAAGGAAGGATGGGGTCGTGGGAATCTAGATTTACAGCCGGTTGGTCAGGAGTATAGGTAACAACCTGGGCTTACAACTGATGTCTGGGGGTTTGGGAACAAGCAGTCTCTTAAGACTGAACTCTTAACCTGTGGGAACTGATGCTACCTCGGGGTAGACGGTGTCAGAATTGAGCTGAATTGTAGGACATCGAGAATTGCTTATTGTTGGGGGAAACCCACCATACACACACACACACACACACGCACACACACACGAACCAAAAACAAAAGATTACTGTAACATGAAAGTTAAACCTTTAGAAACTGCTTCTTGTGAGAAATTGCTTTATCTAGTTTACTGTTTCCAGCTACAAAAAATATTGATAATGTTAAATCCTCTTAGGAGACATTTTGATTAGGAAAACAACAGAAGTATATGAGAGGGAACACTGTATGTGAAAGAATACTATTTTTTTTAGCAAATGTTTTTATTGTCAAAATGAGAAGGGAAAAATGTATGAAGAACAAAGGATATATATGCAGAATTTTTAAGCTATTTTTGTAGTAACAAAATTAATAAATTATAAGCGTGTTAAAATAGGGATTGGGGCACCTGGGTGGCTCAGTTGGTTAAGCTTCGGCTCAGGTCATAATCTCAGAGTCCTGGGATAGAGCCCTACCTCTAGCTCCTTGCTCAGTGGGGAGTCAGCTTGTCCCCCTATCCCTCCCCCCGCTTGTTCTTGCACGCATGTGCTCTCAAAAAGAATTTCTTTTTTAGATTTTATTTATTTGACAGGGAGACACAGCGAGAGAGGGAACACAAGTAGCGGGGAGTGGGAGAGGGAGAAGCAGGCTTCCCGCAGAGCAGGGAGCACGATGTGGGGCTTGATCCCAGGACCCTGGGATCATGACCTGAGCCGAAGGCAGATCCTTAACCACTGAGCCACCCAGGCGCCCCTCAAATAAAATCTTAAAAAAAAAAATAGGGACTATTTCTTTATTTACTTGATACTCCATAAGGGTGCTTAATTTACTAAGCAATTTATGTAATTAGTAAATATCAGTAGTAGTATGAATCTACAATGTTACCATATTGATGAGAAATTTTGGAAATACTGTCAGGGATGCAGAAAGAATTTTCTTTTTTCTTTTCTGCTGTCATTTCCTAAAAGGATTACAAATGATTACTTCTGTTTGAAGCTTTGTCAACTACTTTTCAGTTATAAAATTTCTTGTTTATGCGTTGGAAGTATGTGTGGGTATTTTTTTTTCTTGTGTAAAAAAAAATAAGGAAACTGTTGACTTGTTGCTACAAACTAATTAGTTGGTTTTTGTTGTCACAAACTAATTTGGCTTGCTGCTTATCCCCAGTATCACTTAAGATTATCACATGTAGTTGTTATGAGAGAGTACCTAAATATTGCATACATAAAATATTGTTATGAGGGATTACCTAAATGTAAGGTTATATTGGAATACAAAAACGTCAGGTTTTAAAAGTTAATTGTGTTGGGCGCCTCAGTGGTTCAATTGGGTAAGCATCTGACTCTTGATCTCAGTTCAGGTCTTGATCTCAGGGTCATGAGTTCAAGCCCCATATTGGGCTCCACGATGGGCATGGAGCCTACTTTAAAATAAAAGTTCATTGTGTCTAGTGTTATTGTTTATGTACATAGGTGTATTTTATAATGTTATTACTGATTAGATAATTATTCTTTTTCCCTTTAACATTTCCTTTATTTTTTTCTACTGTGACTGTCTCTCCTAATGCCTAGTTTTTCCTTTTTTAGTAATCTATTCCAAAGTACTGACTGTATAGTTTGTCTAGCAATTTTCCAATAGATTTGTTATTAAGTGATCACTGACTTTATCTTAGGTTAAAGCAACTAAATTTTATACTAGGGAGGGAAAAATCCCCTTTTGGGGAGACCTGCACAAAATAAGTTTGATTTCAAAAGATAGTAACATACTTAAATTCAGATTTAAAATGTATACCTATTGGTTAGAGCAAAGTATGTAAGGACTGAGCACTGACTAAAATACTTTTATTTTCTCAAATGCTAAAATTTTGCTCAGTTAATTACAGCTTGCAAAATAAATCAGGCATCTCTTAATGACTAAAAAGTTTTTCTGAGACTTACACTCTATTAACAAACATGGATGGTATCTAATTTAAAATTGGTTTTATAATTAATTTGTGTCAGGATGTCACTGAAACTACAGTAGAAATATTTTCCTTTTTCCCTTGTCCCTCTGAACATATATCACTAATGTTTTTTTTCTTTTTTTCATGAAAAGAGTACATAAAATGACTATTATTTGTTATTGCTTTATAGTTTGGAAAGCACTTTTAATGTGCTTTATTTTATCAGCCAAGATTTACATTTTACTCATCACAAATACTCAGTTAAAAGCATTGTTATTAAACTTCTTTCCCTAATGCCCAGCACTTTGTAAATTTAACCTTGTCTTTGGGAGAATTAGGTTCTATAATCATTAAGTCCTAATACGTTCTTTAGAAATTCCATCAATAATGTGTTTTCTTTGTAGGAGATATTTGATGTAATACCACTGTGTTTGAAATCAACTACGTTCTTCCAGAACTAAAAAAACTTTATAATTACATACTTATGAATCTTTCCCTCTTTTAAAAAAACAAATCATTAACTGAAATAAAATATTATGACATTATTATGAAATAAACTAATAAACATTAGTTTGAAATAAATTTTGAAATAAACTAATAAGACATACCCATGAAAGTTTAAATTTTTAACTTTTTGGAAGTAGAGCATTAAAAAAGATTGTTTACTAATCAATAACTTCATGGGAGAAATAGGAGACAGGCGTAAATTATATTGTGTCATCCCCTTTCTGTTCCCCACAGTCCAGATTTTGCATTGATTACTTAATGAGTATATAATTTTAGTCAGGATCTAAAGCAGAAATTTAGTCCGGTCTAAAGCAGATTCTGCTTGTTTTGAATCTTAAAATGCTTTTGATACCTATAATTATTTTTACTTTGAAAAATATGGAAGTAAATCATACTTAACGGTAAAATCTTTCCTTTCTATAGAGAGAAATAGCTCGAAAACTTGCAAATCCTAAGCAGCCAACAAATCCTTTTCTAGAGATGGTCAAATTTCTGTTGGAAAGAATTGCACCTGTGCACATTGATTCAGAAGCCATAAGGTAAGCTAGGAAATATATTCACTCAAAAATAGAATATAATCTGAAACCACAGTGTTGTAAGTTTAAATTCTGGGTCCCTAAGAAAACCTAAGAAGGTTCCCTGTATGCCTTTTTAATGGCAGAAGGATGTATCATTGAAGTTGAAAGAAGGGCCTGCTTGTTTTCTAGTCTTTGGCTTACTTCAGTGCTTTTTATTTTTTTAAGGGTTCTTGTGTTTTATCTTTAGCCTATATGTCCTCATTAAAGAAATGAAGAATATTAAGACTGGAGAAAGAAGAAAATTTTACATCTATAGGCTATCAATCAGTTTTTGAGTTTTCTTAACCATTTTGATGGCCTCATAACATTCCTTTAGCATATATCACTGTTTATTTGAGATATGTGAAAACAGAATAGTATTTTGAAAAGAGCACAAGTTGCCCTTGGACTAATCTGGTTTCACAACCTGTGTCTACTACATACCAGTTTTGTGGCTTTGAAAGAAGCCCAGTAATTTATCTGAGTTTTTCATTTTATTTTTAGCTTCAGTATGTGTGTGGTATCTCCCTGTTGGATGATTATGAGAATTAGAACACATAAAACTAGGTAGCCTGGTATAACAGATAAGCTACATGTCTTCCTTTTCATACTGGGTTATTACATAGCACTTACTGGTTCTCTCTCTCTCTCTCTCGTTTTGGTTTTTTATTGGTTCTCTTTTTAAACAGCCTTGGATTAGGAGAGCTGGTTCTAGCTAGTTATTTCACCATATGTGAACTACTGCTTTGGTTGTATTGAAATGCCAGTTGTATTGATTTTCTAGGGCTGCCATAACAAAATGCCACAGACTGGGTGACTTAAACTTAACAGAAATTAATTTTCTCACAGTTTTGGAGGCTAGAAATCCAAGAGAGGGGTGTCAGCAAGTTTGATTTCTTCTGAAGCCTCTCTCCTTGACTTGCAGATGGCCTCTTTCTTGCTGTCTCCTCGCAAGGTCTCACGTTGTCTGTGTCCTAATCTTCTCTTCATATAAGGACAATAGTCATATTGGATACTGTGCCACACATTTCACCTCATTTTACCTTAATTATCTCTTTTAAGGCCCTCATTTCAAGTACATCACGTACTGGAGGTTAGACTTCAACATATGAATTTGGGGTACACAATTCAGCTAATAACAGCGATGTTTGTCTTTTTCCTTTTTGACTAAGAATTCCTTTTTCTTTAATTTCCTTACTTGCAAGTAAGAAAACTAAGATTTTCAGAGAGTAAATGGTTTGTTCACAGCTGGGTAATGGCAAAAACCATAGATTGATTGATTGATTTTTCCAAAGGATGGCAGTAATTTTTAATTCTTTTTATTTGTGTATACTTCAAACACAACGTTACATTAATTTCAGGTATACAACATAGTGGTTCAACATCTCTAATGCTGTGGCTCACCACGAATATAGCTCCCATGTGTCACCATACAGTGATATTACAGTATCATGAACTATGTTCCCTGTGCTGTACCTTTTATTCCCATGACTTACTTATTCCATAACCAGAAGCCAGTATCTCCCACTCCTCTTCATTCATTTTGCCTATCCCTCCATCTCTCTTCTCTCTGACAACCATCAGTTCTCTGTATTTATAGGTCTGATTCTGCTTTTTGTTTATTCATTTTTTTTTTTTAGATTCCACATATGAGTAAATTATATGGCATTTGTCTTTCTCAGTCTGACTTATTTCACTTAGCATAATACCCTCTAGGTCCATCATGTTGTTGCAAATGACAAGAGTTCATCCCTTTTTATGGCTGCATAATATTCGTGTGTGTGTGTGTGTGTGTGCTCGCGCATGCACGTGTGTGTGTATGTACTGCATCTTCTTTATCCATTCATCTATCAGTGGACACTTGGGTTGTTTCCATGTCTTGACTATTATAAATAATGCTGCAGTAAACAAAGGGGTCCGTATATCTTTTCAAATTAGTGTTTTCATTTTCTTTGGGTAAATACCCAGTAGTTTAATTATTGGATCATATGGTGTTTCTATTTTTAATTTTTTGAGGAACCTCCATACTGTTTTCCACAGTGGCCGTATCATTTATATTCCCACCAGATTTATTATTTCTGATGTCAGTGTCCTTTGCTCTATGCCATTTAATTCTGAGGTAAATCAAGAATATAGTACATGTAGTAGTACTCTTGCCTTTGCATATTGACTTTGAAAGAGACATATAATGGCATTTGCTGTTTGTTTCCATGAAGCTTCATAGCATTTCATTTTTTTAGTAAATTATATAAGCTAGTGGTTAACCTCCAGTCTAAAAGACAAAAACTCAGTTTTTTCAGTAACATCATAGGTGTTAAGGCTCAGGGAAATGAACTTATGGTTAGGGTTTCTGAGAGACTAATTGTATGCAAAATTCCAATCTATTAATTTTAAGAGAAATATGTATTATGTCATATAATATTCTTTCTGTATAATCACCTCTTCATGGACTATTAAATTACAAATAGAGGGTTTATTTATTCATGTAACATACATTTAATGGAGCAGTTTGTAAAATACATTGGGTAACTGCAGAAGGTTCGTTATATAACCCAAATTGTGTGGGATGGATTTGTTGTTAGGGAAGGCTCTGAAATACATCACACATAAATGGGTAATGAAAGGTGAGTAGGAATTATGGAGGGTGGCCAGGTGAAGACTGCAGGGGGAGAGCAGCCCAGGCCACTAGCCCTGTGTCCTGGAGTAAATTATTTAAGCTGCTCTGAGCTTTAATGTCCTTATGTTTAAAATAAGAATAATACATTACAATAACAACTGGAATTGTTGAGAGGCTTAAGAGACATGGTTATATAAAACACTTAGCACAATGCCTCACACATAGTAATTACCAAATGAACATTAGTAGCTATTCTAGGAAGAAAAAATAGACAAAACAAAGGCAGAAGGAATCAAGAAGTAGTTAGAAAATTGCATGTACTTTGACCATAATGAAGGATTTTGGAAGAAAGGAATGAGGATAGTACAGAATCATCCTAAATATAACCAATTTTTCTTTAGTATATTTTCTCCAGACTTGTATTTATACAAATACACATATGCATGCTCCAGTTAGTTATTTGTCTTTAGATAGTGGTCGAAAGTGAAGTAATGATTGTAATAATGGTTGAAACCTCAGGGAGAGGGTAAAATTTAAAAAGAAAAGGGTGAGGACTGAATCCTAAGGAAAATTAAGAGGCTGCCAGAAGATAAGGAATTCATTGAATTCTTAAAAATTCTAACAGTGTGGTATGGTGACAGATAGTAACTAGACTTATTGTGGTGACCATTTCATAATATTTATAAATACCAAATCACTATGCTCTATACCTGAAACTAATATGTTGTATGACAGTTCTTCAATTAAAAAAATTTTTTTTAGGGAGACATGGTCAAAAGTGGAAGGAAAATCGGGAAAGAGTGATAACAGAAAAGAGGGACTAAAGAGGGGGGGTCGCCTGGGTGGCTCGTTGGTTAAGCGACTGCCTTCGGCTCAGGTCATGATCCTGGAGTCCCGGGATCGAGTCCCACATCGGGCTCCCCGCTCAGCGGGGAGTCTCCTTCTCCCTCTGACCCTCTTCCCTCTCGTGCTCTCTGTCTCTCATTCTCTCTCTCAAATAAATAAAATCTTTAAAAAAAAGGAGGGGAGCGCCTGGGTGGCTCAGTCGTTAAGCATCTGCCTTCAGCTAGGGTCATGATCCCAGGGTCCTGGGATCGAGCCCTGCATCAGGCTCCCTGCTCGGCGGGAAGCCTGCTTCTCCCTCTGCCTCTCCCATTCCCCTTGTGTTCCCTCTCTCACTGTGTCTCTCTTGTCAAATAAATAAAATCTTTAAAAAAAAAAAAAAGTGGAGGGGTCAGATGCTACCAGAAGTAAAATAGATAGTAAAAAGCATCCATTGGATTTAGAAAAGGAGAAACATCACAATGGCCAGAATAGTTTCTTTGGGGTAGCAAGGGCAAACCCACATGAGCCAACTATTGAGAAGAGCTTAGGATAGTCCTTCTCAAATACACATCATGATACACAGAGAAAATGATAATACTTGAGCAGAGAAGACTGCCCAAGCCCAGAGGTGACTGGCCTAGCTCAACAGGATCCCAGTAGGTCCCACTCAGCAACCTTTAGGTATGAGAAAATCAAAGGGGATAAATACCTTGTCACACTTTGAAACTCTGCTTTAGGAGTTAAATTGAGATGTGGGACAGCCACTGTGGACAGTTTAGCTATAAAAAGTAAAGGAGAAAAATGAGATGATGGGAAGAGAGTAAACTTGAAGGGTCGTCTGTTGTTTTATGAAGGAATTTTGAATATTGAAATACCTTTGAGGGGTACCAATAGAAAAGAAGAGAGGTTGAAGGAGAAGGGGAATAGAATTAAGATAGTACAACATCCCTAAAGAAGAGGAATAGAAAGAAGGAAATCTTCCCCTATGACATGAAAAAATAATAGATACAAATTAGAGGAAGTTAGAAGGTAGGGTATAGAAAATTAGTTTTCACTCAAGGCCGCCATTATTCTCTGTTAGGTTAAAACTAAAGTAGGTAGTCTGCTCAGTGGAAGGATTTAGACCTGAGATAGAATGGTGAAGATTTGTATCCATTGTTACACAGCATGAAAGAGAAAGAGACACATAGAAGACTTCCCAAGCAGTTTTGAAACTGTACTTGAATTGGTAATAATCTTTTGCTGCATGATACCTCTGTGAAGTATATGGTGTATGTATTATTTCTCTCATTTAGAAATGAAAGTACTTTTATAAGAGGAAGGACTACAATCCTGGTTTCAAGACTTGGGTCTTTTTCTTATAGCTCAACTCATAATGGTGATGTACCCACATTATAAATGAAAAAGATTATGTCTGTCTTGTTTTGCACTATACTTTCAGGACAGACCCTAAGACTTGGTACATAATAGGTGGTCAATAAATACTTATTAAGTAAATGCATGGATGACCTCTTACAAATAATTAGATACATTTATAAATTTTTTCAAACACATTTATAATCTTGTTAAATTCATGTATCATTTTATAGGATTTCTTCCTAGTAGCTTAATTCAGAATATTTTTCTCAAATTAAAAATAACTTTTTAAAAAAGTATATAATGTCAGAGCTAAAACTTCTAAAACAAAATATGGGGTGAGCAAAATAGCTTAAATGGGACATAAAAAGCGCACAAACAATGAAAGAAAATTAAATAATTTTTCCATTTTGCAAGACACCGTTATGAGAAAGAAAAGTCAAGCTACAGACTGGGAGAAAAGACTTGCAAAGCATATACCTGATGAAAGATTATATCCAGAATATAAAAAGTATTGTTACTACTCAGTAAGACAGACTATAAAAATGAACAGAAGATTTGAACAGACTTCACCAAGTAAGATACACAAATAGGAAATAAGCACAGGAAAAGACAATGAACATTATTACTCATTAGGGAAATATAAATTCAAATTACAATGAGAAATACCACTGCACAACCATTTGGCTAAAATTAAAGATACTGTCCATACCAAGTGTTGATGCTGTAGGAGACAGTTTGTTATAACATTAAGTAGACATAAAATATTACCATACAACTCAGGAATCCCAATACTACATATTGCCTACAAGAAAAAAAAACATAAATTGCCATAAAGACATATATTTAATTGCTTATAGCAGCTTTATTTATATCTTTAAGCTAGAAATACCCTAACGTCCATCTATTGATAATTGGGTAATCATACTGTGATATATCCATACAATATATACTTTTCAGTAGTAGAAAGGAATAAACTACTGATTCTACTCAACAACATGGAGGAATCTCAAAAGAATTGTCACTTAAAAAATGTCAGACACAAAATATATGAAATTCTAGAAATGGTAAAATTGTAATGACAGAAACCATTGCCAGCATGGAGAAAGGAGATTGACGACACGGGACATAAGGCAATTTTTTATGCGGAGGTGGGAATGTTTTTATTTGTGTGTGTGTCGCACATGTATGGCTATAATCAAAAAGATGAGTTGGAGAAGATGCAAAAAAATTGTTACCCTCCTGTATTGCCGGTGGGAATGTAAAATGATGGAGCTGCTATGGAAAACAGTTTGGCAGTTCCTCAAAAAATTAAAACATAGTTACTATAGCAACCCGCAGTTCCACTCCTAAATATCTGTCCAAGAGAAATGAAAATATATGTCCATACCTGTATATGAATGTTTATAGCAACATTATTCATAATAGCCAAAAAAGTGGAAACAACCCAAATGTCAGTTGATGAATGGATAAATTGTCTTATATACTGGAAGGTTATTCAGGATTAAAGTGAATGAAATACTGATGCATACTACAACATGGATGAACCTTAAGAACAGTTTGCTAAGTGAAAGGAGTCACAGAAGACCATATATTGTATGATTTTATTTATATGAAATACTCAGAATAGGGAAATCTGTAGCAGAAGAAAGTAGATTAATAGATTACCAGGGCTAGAGGAGGTGCAAGTGAATAGCAGTGACTCCTGTTGGAAAGGGGTTTTTTGGGGGATGGGGAGAAATCTAAAATTAGATTGTGGTAATGATTATACAATCCTGTGAGTCTACACTAAAAACCATTGAATTACACATTTTAAATATGTGAATTATATGATATATAAATTATATTTCAGGCTACTGTTTACACACACCCCTAATTTGTTTTCTCAAAAAAAAAATTTTTTTACTCAATTGAAGATACTAAGGTTTTTAAATTATTGTGTTAAAAAGGAAAGAAAAGTACTAAAAGTGGTTTAAATTATATAGAAGATGCATCTGTGCATCTTACATATTTTGTACTTAAAATTTTTTTAATTTAAAATATGCATATTTTTCCAAAGGAAAAATGTTCACCTAAAATTTATCATTAGCTTCCATTTGTTAAATATTTGCTATATACTAGGCCATTTGCTGTAATAATTTAATGTTCCTCAAAATAAGGTAGTATTATCTTCAGTTTACTGATGAGGAAGCAGTCTCAAAACCAAAAATCACATCTGTTTTTACTTAAACTAGTATCATCTTGCTACATAGACTGATTTTTATTGACCAAGTAATATTCCATTTTGTGGTGGTTAGGTATGTTTGAAAAATTAATTCCATAATGTTGGACAATTAAATGGTTTTTTAAATTTTTATTGAAATTCTAGTTAGTTAACATACAGTGCAGTATTGGTTTCAGGAGTAGAATTTAGTGATTCATCACATATACAACATCTGGTGTTCATCACAGTAAGTGCCCTCCTTAATACCCATCACCTATCTAGCCCATCCCCCACCCACCTCCCTCATCAGCCCTCAGTTTGTTCTTTATTGTTAAGAGTCTCTTATGGTTTGTTTCCCTCTCTTTTCTTTCTTTCTTTTCCCTTCCCATATGTTTGTCAGTTTTGTTTCTTAAATTCTATATATGTATGAGTGAAATCATATGGTATTTGTCTTTCTCTGATTTATTTCACTTAGCATAATACACTCTAGTTCTGTCCACATCATTACAAATGGCAAGATTTCATTCTTTTTGATGGCTGAGTAGTATTCTGTTGTATATATGTACCACGTTTTCTTTATCCGTTCATCAGTCGATGGACATTTGGGCTCTCTCCACAGTTTGGCTCTTGTTGATAAGGCTGCTTATAAACATCAGGGTGCATGTGTCCCTTAGAATCTGTATTTTTGTAATTAAGTGGTTTTTTAATTGATGAGTATTTATGAATATAACATGCTTTTGATGAAGTGCTTCTTTGCTATGAATTTCTGGGTTGTAATTACTGATCCAGTGAATTAATTATCAGGGATTAATTTAAACATCTTTGTCCGTGTTTTGTTAACTATTTGCTTTTTGCTTTGAGTGAATTGTCATTTGTCCATTTAGCAGCTGCCCTCTATTGTTTTTCCTAAGATTGTAAATGATATCTTTATACATAGAAATCAATAGTAAATTATATTTCCAGTATGTGTCGTTTAATTTTAGTTTTGTTATTTTTCAGTAGAGTTACACATGGAGTTTGGTCGGTGGTGTAGGGAGATAAACTAAAAAAAAAATCTCAGCTGTCAAATAGGGAGCAAAGTTTAAAAAGTCATAAAATAACTTTTTCCTCCATGAACATATTTATATCTGATGTTTAGATTCTGTATGTGTTCTGCCACAGTGCAATTAGGATACAGTTACTAATCTAGTAAGGTTACTAATTTAGATTTTCTCGTTTTAATAGTGCACTGGTAAAACTGATGAATAAATCAATAGAGGGGACAGCAGATGATGAAGAGGAGGGTGTAAGTCCAGATACAGCTATTCGTTCAGGGCTTGAACTTCTTAAGGTACTTTGAGATAATTTTGTCTCCATGCACTTCCACAGTTTTAATTTGAACTCCCTTAAGGATATGCAAGAGTTGGGCTTTATTTCACTGGAAACTATTTGAAAGATTAAACATTTGTGGTAGAAATCACAGTTTATAAAAATGTATGTTTTTACATTACAATAATGTAATTGTTTTACATTATAAAATAATAATGTTTTGGGGGTTTGCGGTTTCATCATTTGCATGCCTGTATTTAATAACATGTGCTTGTACCAGTATGTTCTAAATGATCTAGTCTTACCTTTCATCTGGAGTAGTAGGATTGCTCACAGGAATTATATAATAGCATCTGTCTGATCGGGGAATTTTTAAACAATTGCTAGTCATATATATATTCTTACGCCCAAAGAATTCAGAGAATAGAGCAATTAGTAAGAGCCAGTTCAGACAAGACTTTATGGATAAGATATGACTTAATCTAGGGGAAACACAGCATCATCAAAGAAGTTAATTCTTGGCATATTTTAGGAATTGTTGGGAGTCCAGCCTAACCAGAGAAAAGGACTGCTTTGGGGAATAATGGGAGACAAAATTGGTTTTAGATTGTGGAATGGTGTTGGAGCAGAAAGGTATTATCGGGGTCTTTCATTCTGGCTTTTAATATGATAACAGCACTTGACAGAGCTTTCATCAGATGGAGTAAAGAGGAGAGGAAATTGAAGGCAAAAAATGTTTAGATCATTACAATATATAAGGGAGAAGAGACAAATCAATGCAGTGGATGTGAGAAAGAAAACAGTGATGGGATTGTATTGGAATGGTCTTAAATATAATTTCATGGAAATAATTGATATGATGCTTCGTAAGAAAGATTCTAATTATATTTTTAATGAGGTTATATTTTTAAGTAGTTTTAAGAGTGAAATCATCCTTAAGATAAACATTTTTAATATGTTTTTTCAGTTTTTCAAATTTGATTCTCCTTTTTTCTGTAAGTAAAACTTAATAAGGTTTTATATTATCAACTTATTTAACATGTCAACATATTATCTAAATATTATCAACAAGAACCTAACCAAATGAGACAATCTCTTTATAACCCGGTAAATAAATGCTTATTGAATAAGTTAATGAAGACTACATACTCCATCCCCTGCCCCTCACTTCTCCACTTAGCCCTTATTACTGATATTATGCTATAAGTAAATTGTTCCCACTTCATGGAAAGTAAACTTTGTAGACATGTTATGTCTAACCTGCTGTACATTCCTTTGGGATAGACTGGGACTTGTGTAGGAATAATTATTTATGTTTGTAATCATGATAAAAGTTCACAGTTATGGCTTGTTTATAGCTACACCCAGTGCACTTGTTGTGATGGATTCCACTTAAAATATCCCTTATAGAGTATCTTTTTGCCAGCGAAATAAAGCTGTGTTAACATTTTGTTCACTTCACAATATCACAGTCCATAAAAAAGGAGCCACGTTTGCTGCATTCCCAGTATCAGGATAGACTAAGAGGTGAAGAAGAAAATAGGGCAAGGGCTATAAATCAACTCTCTTAAGGAATCTAATGCACGATATTTCTGCTAATGTCTCATTAAATGCAACAAATTGCAAAGGAGCTATGAAATAAAATCTTCATTCTGTATAGCTAGCATATGCATCCCAATATTTTGAATTGTATTTATAGTAGAAAATATAATGATCTTTTAATGGGTTAAAACCATTGTCTATACTTCTAAAGCTGTATCTATTCCTCCAGGTTCTGTCTTTCACACATCCTACCTCGTTCCACTCTGCAGAGACATATGAGTCCCTGTTACAGTGCCTCAGAATGGAAGATGACAAGGTAGCAGAAGCTGCTATACAAATTTTTAGAAATACAGGCCACAAAATAGAAACAGACCTACCCCAGATACGATCGTGAGTATATTTTTTCTCATGGTAAACACAAAGTGGTTTTTGTTGTTGTTGTTTTTTTAACACAAAAGTTTTTAAGTATGGGAGCCATACAGTCAGTCTTCCCTTTCATGGAGGAAGATAGAAGCGAGGAAAGAGAATTTTTACTTAGAAGCTACTTGTCTGGGGGCAACTGGGTGACTCAGTCGGTAGAGCCTCCAGCTCTTGATCTCAGGGTCATGACTTCAAGCCCCATGTGGGGCGTGGAGCCTACTTAAAAAAAAAAAGCTACATTTCTGTATCCTTTGTTTTATCTTTTCTCTGCCTCATTCTCCTCCTCCACCATTAAAAGAACAAACTGTTTATAACAAGATTTTTAAATATTAATATTAATAATCAAGAGTTTTCACAGAATTTCAAATTTATAGTTAATATATCTTCGTTATCTAAGTATGTTCATTTTTTTTTTCTCAGCTGGTTTAAATTCAATAGCTGCCACCTTCATGTCTCACCAAAGAATGGGATAATCAAGTAGTGTGTTTAATAGCATATCTTATTAGTTGCTTGGTTGTTGGCAGTGGTGCTTTGATAATTTTGATCTCTCAAGATTACCTTTCCCCTTTCACCGTAAGAATGAAATACATGTTGATATTTTTACTTTGGCATCTTAAAGAGGTTGCCTTCGGATCAAACTTGTGCTGAGAGTTTATATTTAGACAAAAGATGTGGGAGATGTCTTTTGGAAGAAAAACACATTGCTGATAGCTGTTGAATCACATGTTCAGGGTATATGCAAATAGTTTTGGATATATCCATGTCAAACCAGTTTTCCCTTACAGGGTAATAATAGGGTAAGAGGACTCCTGACTCCTCGTTTTTATTAAATTTGTGAGCTAATAGTTTAATTTGAGAAATAAGTCAATGTTTATTGTACATTCTCTTCATTCTCAGAACTGTACTGGCTAATAATAAAGAATTGCCACAGTCAGTCCCTGTTCTCAAGGAGTTTATAGTCTAGAGACAATAATTTTTATATTTGTACATTGAAAAAAAAATCATTGACACAGTAGGATAAAGTTTCTGGTGAGTTTTTCAAGGTAGGAAAACCTTTTTTAGGGTAAAGGATTTTTTTCTTAAAGGAATTCTATCCCAAATGAAGCAGTGGAAAAATGGGGTTAGATGGAATCGTTAATTTTTGGACACAAGGAATACAACCTCTTATTCTTTTTTTTTTTTTTTTAAGGTTTTATTTATTTATTTGACACAGAGCACAAGTAGGCAGAGCAGCAGAGAGAGGGAGAAGCAGGCTCTCGCTGAGCAGAGAGCCCAACTCAGGGCTCCATCCCTGAGCCAAAAGCAGACGTTTAACCGACTGAACCACCCAGATGCCCCCAAACCTCTTATTCTTAAGACTAATTAGAAAAGGGCGCCTGGGTGGCTCAGTTAAGCGTCTGCCTTCGGCTCAGGTCATGATCCCGGGGTCCTGGGATCGAGCCCCACATCGGGCTCCCTGCTCAGCGGGAAGCCTGCTTCTCCCTCTCCCTCTGCCTGCTGCTGCTCCCCCTGCTTGTGCTCTCTAATTAAAAAAAAATTTTTAAATCTTAAAAAAAAAAAGACTAATTAGGAAGGAAGGAGAGAATCATTGAAAAGCAGAGAAGTACAACAATGCAGGCCTCAACAATAACCTTGATGGCATCATTAGATTATAGCACACTAGAAAAACAAGGAAAAAGGTTAAAGTTGATTTATGTGTTGTCATTTCCTTAGACTAAGAAGAATTAATAATACGTTTAACAACATTTTGATCAATGCTGCGTCTCCCTTTGTTACTTGTGTTATTTATAAGAACTGTTACTGGTAAATGAGTTTGTGAGAGAAAGACAGTGTTCAGTTAAGGAGGCTGCTTGGGCATAGAAATCCCTAGCTTACCATTTTAAACCTGCATACAAAGAAATATGGCATACTCAGAAATGTCAAATCCAATTTATGCAGACTAGCATATGTTCCAGTTTTTTGGTTGAGGTGCATGACCTGGAATCTGGGGTACTTGCTCTTAATGTCTAGCCTCCTGTTTTCATGAGAGGACCCTTTTTCACCATTGTATTTGACACAACTGACCTTATAATCTATAAAATAGGACCACTGCAGTAAATGAATGACAAGTATTTTTCCTTAAATTTTTTTTGCCTTAAATAGATTTTCTTCTGATTAAAAAAAACATGTGTATGTTCATTGTAAAAAGCTGAAACTTTAGGATATATAAAGGAGAAAAAGAGTCACTATCAACACTTTGTAACTTTTAAGAGTATTTTATCTACTTGATGTATATACCTATTTTATAGGTTGATACACACATGCTGTTTTCTTCGTACAGTGTTTTCCCATATCATCAACATTTAATGCTTAAGACTGTAATGTAGGACAATAAAGTACATATTGTCCTAAGGAAGGATTGTTTTACTTGGATATTCAGTGTCAATTTGGAGGTTAAGTGCATGGATCTTGGAACAGAAGTACACATCTTCACAACCCAACCTCACCAAATCCTAGCTCCGTCAGCTTAAGAAGCTTAAATAATATTTTTGTGCTTTAGTTTTTTTATCTGTTTAATATAACAGTCCTCTTTGTGTGACTGTGAGGATTAATTGACTTAATCCATGTAAAAACACCTAGAATGGTGCTTGGCACAAGTACTCAATAATTGTTAGATGCTTTTATTACTCCTCTACCAATATATGTCTGTATCCTTGCATACTTTGTTTCACTGGTATCATTTAAACTTTTTAATAAAACTTGGCCTTTTGCTACTTTTTTTCCATGACTGCTTTAAAGTAACTGAAGGGGATTGTGAAAGGGAAATGGAAAATTAGGAATATGTACTTAGAAGGTAGATATAAGAGTATGGCATGGGGCAAGTTTTAGATTATAAATTAAGGGTGGCTTGTTTATTTCTCTGTATTCATGAGGTGGCTTTAAAACAAATTGTCTCCCAAAGTAGCCTTTTTCTTTTTTATTTATTTATTTATTTATTTGACACAGAGAGACCGCGAGAGAGGGAACACAAGCACGGGGAGTGGGAGAGGGAGAAGCAGGCTCTCTGCCGAGACCAGGACCCTGGGATCATGACCTGAGCTGAAGGCAGACGCTTAACGACTGAGCCACCCAGGCACCCCCGAAAGTAGCTTTTCTTGAGACATTGTATTTCTTGGATTATAGTTGAGAACAGATATCTTTCTATAGATGAGGTAATTTTTACGGGAGTCTTCTCGGGATGCCCGGCTGGTTCAGTCAGTGCAGCACGCAAACTCTTGATCTCAGCGTCATGAGAGTTCGAGCCCCACGTTGGGTGTAGAGATTACTTTAAATAAACTTAAAAAAATAATGAGAGGCTTCTCTACCAGCATACATCCAAACAGTTATGAGAAAGTAGGTAGAGGAGACAACCAAAAGAACTACTTGTGGTGTATGGGCCTTTTTTTTAAACTATGATATTATTTTTTACAGGACCTTAATTCCCATTTTACATCAGAAAGCAAAGAGAGGTACTCCACACCAAGCAAAACAGGCTGTTCACTGTATACATGCCATATTCACAAATAAAGAAGTCCAGCTTGCACAGATTTTTGAGGTATATATAATATATAGGATGTGTTTATGTTGATTTTTTATGCTGTGTAGTTTGATGAAGATAGAAGGTAGATTTTTTTTGGCTATTTAGTCTCACCCTCGTATATAAATTCTTTGGGAGCAGGGGCTCTCTTTTTTTTAGCACTGTGTTCATAGCCTTTAGATTACATTATATGTTCAAATACTACATACAGAAGAATATTTTGTGTGTTTGTGTTAGAACATTTTACGTAGTTTTAGCTTTATTGACTCTGTGGTATGTATCCTCAGAAAGTAACTTTGAACTACCCAGTTTAAAGTACCTGATAACCCTACCTGAAAATTAGTCCTCTTTGCCTTTTCCTTTGTGTGATCCTTGACCTGATCCCACTGTTGGAAAGGTACTCCTATTATTTTAAATTGGATATAGTATCAACAGAACCCAATGAACACTTATTTATGGTCCATGGTCTTTAAAATGTCCCCGTAGGGTAAGAAGTCCACCAACATAACAAGCCTATTATTGTAGATGGCTTGAAAATAATGCTGATTTGATGACGCAGAAATGTTCTTGTTTTTACTTCTTCCTTTTATGTGTGCTTTTTTTTTTTCTGGATTCTTTCAATCTTACTGAATTTCAGTAGTTGAAATAAAAATTGAGTGTCTAATATGGCTGAAGCTACTTTTGATCATATTAGCACAGCTTTGTTTGGGCCCAACAAACTCAGGAGGGTCAGGAACATTTACTGTTTCCATAGAATGTCTAGATATTTATAAAACAAAACTGGTAATTTTGACTGTTTTATTTTTATAGCCACTCAGTAGGAGTCTGAATGCTGATGTACCAGAACAACTTATAACTCCATTAGTTTCATTGGGCCACATTTCTATGTTAGCACCAGATCAATTTGCTTCCCCAATGAAATCTGTAGTAGCAAATTTTATTGTGAAAGATCTGCTAATGAATGACAGGGTAAGTTTCTAATTTAATTAAATTTAGAATAATGAGACTAAAACTATTTACATCTTTATCACAGAAACATTTCTGCTTCTCTATTTAATTTTCCTTTTAAATTATTGTGTTTTCCCTCCTTATTTACTTAAATTTCCAAATGACATCCTGACTTTATGTAGCTATTACCAGAACTTAACATTTAAGAAAGAAAAAATGAGAACATGAGATGGATGAAACATGAAGTAAAAAATATAAGTCAAATGCTATTATCCTAACATTTGAAGGACAGTTTACTGGAGTGTTAGAATTTTATCAGATGTTGTTTAAAATATGAGTGGATTTGTATTTAGTGTTTTGAAATATAATTACATTGCATTTTTGGCGCTAGATTCATATTTTAGTTATTGAAGTGTGTGGGGTGGGTACACGCACATGTATGTGCATACAAGCTAATTTATTAACTCTGGGATGGAGCCTGGAAATATATAGCTTGAAAAGGCACACCGAGTGATTGCTGAAACACACCTCTGATTAAGAATCACCACTTTACCAAGTAGATCTAAATTAAAAAGTTGTTGAATGAAGACAAATCTGTTTTACCTGCTGGATCATTGTGGATGACTTTCAGTGCAGTGCTAATTTATCCAGCTTACCTATTCCTTCCACATGATCCAATAGTCTTTGGAGCCTTCGATATCTAAACTTAGAAAGAAAGACATTTGCCAGTGCATTCCATCCTCTTTCCCTTCCCCTGTTTGGATGTAATAGACAAGAATGGAAGAGCATGGCCAAAGTGTCATTTCCCACTCAACACATTCAGGCTGTTCTTTGCACTATTGATAGATATGAATGGCAACAAACGTGAAATTTAAGACTTGACTAGATTGTAGTTTACAATGGCTCTTTTTTGTTGCTGTTTGTGTGGTAAAATATGCCTAATAGAAATGGCATTTTTGCCATTTTTAAGTGTCTATCACATATACGCCAACATTCTTGTTTTTGTTGTTGGGTGGGTGTTTTTGTTTGATTTGGTTTTTTAAAAAACAAAAACATTTATACCATGTATACCTCCTGTATACATAGGAAATACCCAGGAAAGCCAGACAACTCTCCGAAATGACCCAAAGCACCACCTAAAATATGTACCTACATTTTTTGTGTAACTGTCACCACTATTTTCAGAACATTTTAATCTCAGAAACTGCATTCATTAACCAGTAACTCCCGTTGCTTCCTTCCCACAGCCTCTGGTAACACCTCTATTGTACTTTGTTCTGACTTTGCATTTGCTTCTTCTAGATACCTCTTATCATACAATATTTGTCCTTTTGTGCCTGGCGTATTTCACTTAGCATAATGACTTCAAGGTTCATTTGTGTTATGTATCAGAAGTTAATTCATTTTATGCCAGAATAATATTGTTGTATTTGTAGCCTACATTTTGTTTATTCATCTGTTAATGGACAGTTGTGTTTTTTTCCCACCTTTTAACTTTTGTGAATAATGCTGATGTGAACATTTGTGAACCTCTTTTCAAATCTTTTGGATCTGTACCTAGGAGTGGAATTGCTAGGTCACATGGTCATTCTATGTTGTACTTTTTGAGCGACCACCACACTGTTTTCCACAGTGGCTGTACCATTTTTGCATTCCCAACATCAATGCACAAGTCTTGCAATTTTTGTCACATCTTTGCCAATGCTTCCTCTTTTCTGTGTTTTTGATAATGGCCATTCTAGTGGATGTGAAGTAATATCTTGTGGTTTTGGTTTGCGTTTCGCTAATGACTAACAATGTAAAGGTGGTTTTTTTTTTTTTTCATGTGCTTTTGGCCATTTGTGTATCTTCTTGGACATTCAGAATCCTTTGCACACTTTTAATTGGGGTGTTTATTGTTCCTGAGTTGTAAGAATTCTTTATATATTCTGAGTATTAAACCCTTGTCAGATATTTGCCAAATCAAAGATGATGAAGATTTTCCCCTGTATTTTCTTTTAAGAGTTCTAATAGTTTTAGCTCTTAAATTAAGATCTTTGATTTTTTTTTGAGTTTTTTTTTTGATATTAGGTAAAGCATCTTTTTTTTTTTTTTTTGCTTGTGGATATCTAGTTTTTCCAGCACCATTTGTTTGAAGTAATTGGCCTTAGCAACCTTGTTAAAAATCAGTTGACCATATATGTGAGGGTTTTCTGGGTTCTCTATTTCATTCCATTGGTCTATGTGCCTATACATGTCAGTGCCATCCATTTTGTCTTGATTACTATAAATTTGTAGTAAGTTTTGAAATCAGGAAGTTCAAGTCCTCCAACTTTGTTCTTTTTCAAGCTCTGGTGACTTTCCTATAGGTTTCCTAGAGCACTGCATTGTTCAGCATGAAAAACTTAATGAAGGAAACTTTAAAAATCTTTCTAAGAGTTAAATATATTCAATTGTCTATAGTCAACAGGTGAGAAGAATGGAAAATTATGGTCTCCAGATGAAGAGGTTTCCCCTGAAGTACTAGCAAAGGTAAATTTGTGTAGGCCTTGATAACTTTTGTGTTGAAATAATGAACATTGATAGACACCCTTTTTCTTTAACCTGACAGCTAATAGTATTTTTAAATGAGGTACTTTATTTTTAAATCAAAAGTTGTTTCTCTCAAAGAAATTGTAGTCCTCATTGAGTTATTTATATATAGATATATGTCAGCATCTTCCATAGAACTTCATGCCTGCTAAAATAATTTCAGTGAGGCTGTTTTACACAGAAATTGTTTGTAGGATGTCAGTGCTCAGAAGCATCTCTGGTCTAGCCTAACTACCACTCTCTACAAAAATATGAATATTAACTTGGCAAAAACAGATGGCTGTCATCGAATTGGTAACTTTTGGTAGATACAAAATGTCTCTCAGTAAAACTAATTTTTAAAGTGGTGGTATTGGGATTGAAGACAAGACTTGTTTTGTTACCATCTTCCTTGAGAATCTGTTTCACCTTGTATAGCTTCCTAGTCTGTTCCATCAATTCTTTTTTCCAGGTTATCAATAAATATCATAAATAACACCTAGATCCTTTAGCTAGTTCTTTCACATGTATTGGTAGCAATCTTTTGAGTATAAACCTCTAAGAAATTATGACCACAAATAATTATGGAATCTCCTAGTTTTTTTAATCAGGATAGTCAGATAGAATCAGACTTAGTGGTTTCTTCAAAGTAGTTTTTGCAGTACTATAAAAATATTAAAGTATCTAAATAGCTCATTTTAATCACTATAATAGGTATAGTTTAAATAGTTATTTTTAAACGATATATTTTCAAATAATTTGAAAATCTTGGGTAACTGCAAAAAGCCTGGGTTCAGAAGCCAGACTTTGGGCAAGTTATCTATCATAGTAATGTGTTTCCGTTGCCTTATCTATTGGAAATAAAAACCTCCCTTGTAGGCTTGTTTGGAACATCAAATAAGTTAATATATGTACAGCTCTGGAAAAAGTGCCTATTATCCATTAAACAGAATAAATATTCTTACTGTTACTGTTACTGTCCTACAGACTTGTTTAATAAAACATGTCCACCAGCAATTAAGGAACCTCACTAATCTAACTGACATAAATTAATCATCCCTTTAATTGGAATTTTAAGTTCCTTTCTTTTTTTAGCATGTTAATATTTTATAGGTACAGGCAATTAAACTTCTGGTAAGGTGGCTGTTGGGTATGAAAAACAACCAGTCTAAATCTGCCAATTCGACTCTTCGATTATTATCAGCGATGTTGGTTAGTGAGGGTGACCTGACAGAGCAAAAGAGGATCAGGTGAGATCTTTCTTCCTTTCCAGTTTTTACAGCTCAAAATATTGGTAGAACTTCCATGGAAATTATTTACCTAATTAATATTGCATGTTGTAATTGCACCATATGCTTTGGGATCAGATCTAATGTACTACTCACTTTGGGTTTTCAACTCAGTGATGATGGAATGTTTCTTTTCTAAAGACCAAACTTTTTCCGGTAAATGTTTAGTCATAATCACTATATGTTACAGTTGGCTTCAGCATTTTTGGTTCACTTAAGCAAATATCTGTTGAAATACTACACTTTGCAAAACACCATGAAAAGCATTGCAGCAAAAACAGAAAAGATTCAGTTCCTACCTTTTACCCTGTACTGTAGTGATTGAACAAGGTGGGTGACTGGATAGCGTGAAAGGAATACGAGCTTCAGTGGAGGGGTTCAAAGGAGGAAAAGTCACAGCCCCCCTGGTGGTTTGCAGAAGATTAAAACAAGGTTCTGCCAATGCAAAAAAAAAAAAAAACATTGTTTCCATTTCTGCACATTTTCACTGTGTTGTGAAATCACCATTTCTTCTTTCTGTTCTTTTTAAGATGAAAATAAAAGCAAATTTTTCATGACCCTTGTTTGTTTCAAATTCTTGATTTACTAGGGTCCAGGAGTACCAACAGATAAAACTACAGAATTCTACTTGTGATGCATTCCTACTTTAAAATGTGTTACTACAGGACAATAAAAAAATTAAAAAATATAAAAAAAAGTGTTATTACAGGACAAATTTATTCATTTGTGCATTCATTATTTATTGAGCACTGTCATCCTAGGTACTGCTGTGCTTTTTTTAAAGCTATAAAAATCTCTCCTTCCAAGGAATATGCATTCTAGTGGAGGAGATTAGGAAATGAGCAAATTACGGTAAAGATGCTGAATGCTTTGATAAACTGAAGAAAACCATGGAAAATTGTCTTTATCATAGAATAAGCCAAGGGTATTGTAGGAACAGATTAGAAGAGTAGAGCTGAATTAGGGATAATAAGTTTTAAATTTGGGGAAACTGGCAAAGGCTTAATAATGAGCTTTTATAAAGCAGTGATAAATAGGCAGAATCCCCCATAGAGATGAAGACTATGAATTATCAGTTTACCTTTTTAAAAATGTTTAACATCACTAAATACAATAAATACAGTTTAAATTTAGCGATACCTCTTGACTATCAAATCAGCAAAAATATTTTTTAAAGTAATCACTGTTCCATGGGTTCAGGGAAATGGGTCCCCTCATTACTCCTGTTAATATAAATTGGCACAGTCTTGGCAGGACAGTTTGGCATTTTGTGTCTAGATCCTTATAAATGTTACCCTTTTGACTCTATTTTTACACTCGTGAAATAATAAAAGAATCATACAGAAACATACATACAAACATGTTCTTTCCAGCATTTTTAATCACAGAAAATAAGGGAACGGTTAATTGTAGAACACACATGTCATGAAATATTAGGCAAATCTTAATTAGGTATTATATATGCCATGGTTTAGCTTGAGCTCTAGAATCAGAAACTTATACAACACTCCGTTTATTGAGTGTTTGAACTATAAATCACTTTTCTAAGCCTCAATTTGCTCACTTACAGAGTGAAAATTAAATGAGATAGTGTTCACACACAGCCTAGCACAGGCTTAAGCACCCAGATGGTAGCTATTTTTTTTTTTTTTAATTCCTGAATCATTTGTCTCAGAAGCCATTTGAAGTTCCCTCAAGAATACCAGTGTTCACTCTGATAATCCTGTAGTCCCGGAGTGCCATGTTGTCTCCTCTTGTATGCTAATGATGGACTCAGCCAGCTTTCCACGTTTCCTGAAGTCTAAAATGTCATAACCATGCTGTGTTTAACATAGAAGTTGAAATAACACTGTCCTTTCATCTCGTTCATTGTCCCATTTTACCAGTTAGGGAATAAAAAACTATTGGGCGGGGGTGGAAGGGCTGGACCTCCTGGGGGGTGGGGGGTTGGCTACAAAAGGAAGTCTGCGCCCAGATAGACACTGGCTTTCATTTCCATATCCTTTCGTCTTAGATATTTGTCTGATACATCCCCTTCTGTGGTATTAATCAGCTCCCCATTGCTAGCCCCTCCATTTCATCAGTCACAGGCTTAGGCTAGATTTTTATTACATGTGTGTATGTATGTACATGCATTTAAAAACTGTAGGAAACATTTAATATGATAGGTGATTTAATCAAGTTTTTACAACGAATATGTATTCCTCTTAAAGTGAGGAATACCATTCCTGATGTAAATAGTTCTTCTTGGCATTGCAGTTACCGTAGTTGTGATCATAAGTAGAGCTGCTTGGCTGTGGTAGAGGATCTACACTACAGCATAACTAGAAATAAAGGCAGATAAATTTATTATTAGTCACAATGATTTGAGCCTTTTTCCCTGTGTTGAGTTCAAGGACTCAAAGTAGCTTTCCCAGATTTGTACATGATGTTATTTTAAGCATAAATTATGCTAAAGACCTTAACACTCAAAAAGGGATCAAAGCATTGTTATGAATGATAATGGTTATAGGAAATGTTTATTTCTTTTTTGTTTGTTTATAGTAAATCTGATATGTCTCGCTTGCGATTAGCTGCTGGTAGTGCCATAATGAAGCTTGCTCAGGAACCTTGTTACCATGAAATTATAACCCCAGAACAGTTTCAGCTCTGTGCACTTGTTATTAATGTAAGTAATCCTCTTATTTTTGTCAATTACTTGGTCTTCACAGTTAAATACATTTACTTTCTGTGAATACAGATCCATTTACTGTGTGCAGAAAAGAAATTGCTATTATAACTATTCTAACTAAGTATCTTTTAAGTATTGTTATTTATTCTCCAATATAAATCGTTTTTTTTAAAAAATGACTTTCGGAACAAACTGCTCTTTAGTAAATGTTTCCCAGTTTTTTTCTTAACTGGGTTATTTTGTCATGGTTTTAAAAGTACTAACATTTTTATTTAAGTATTTTTGGTTTTATGCCACTGTAGGATGAGTGCTACCAAGTAAGGCAGATATTTGCTCAGAAGTTGCATAAGGCTCTCGTGAAGTTACTACTCCCATTGGAGTATATGGCGATCTTTGCCTTGTGTGCCAAAGATCCTGTGAAGGAGAGAAGAGCACATGCACGACAGTGTTTACTAAAAAATATCAGTATACGCAGGGAATACATTAAACAAAACCCCATGGCTACTGGTGAGTAATTTTGAAAGCTCCAAGTGTGCAAATGTATCTTGTGAGTGTATCAATTTATAGGGGGGTTTTATTTCATATATTTCCATTGTAGTATATTTATAAAAACACTACAATTTTTAATTTTTATAGAATGCTGTTGCTATAGTTGTGATATACTTAACATCTAAAATCCTGGTTTCTAAGTGCTATTTATAATGTATAAAACTGTTTGGAGGAATTTTATTTTTCTTATGGGATCAGCAATGTGACTTGATTTAAACACATTGCTCAGATGTCAGAGAGTAAAGAATTATTTTCCCAGCTTTACCACTGTATAATCTCAAATTATCCCTTTGGCTTTAGTAGCTTTCAACATTGAAATGTATTTCACTATCATCTAGATAGCATGTTGCCTGTAATTTTAAAATAACTGAGGAAAAATATGGAAACTGAAGTGGTTAGAATGCAAAACTAGGGAGGGATTTTATAAAAGCTATTATTACTATTGTTAATAATAATGTTTTCACTTTAGAGAAATTATTATCACTGTTGCCTGAATATGTAGTTCCATACATGATTCACCTGCTAGCCCATGATCCAGATTTTACAAGATCACAAGATGTTGATCAGCTTCGTGATATTAAAGAGTAAGTCATGTTGATTTTCAAGAATTTTAAAAATTATTTTTACTTACTGAAAAGATAAATTTTTTTCCTGTTACTATTCCCATTAGAATAAAAACTTCTTTGTGGCTTTATTATAAATTTCATCTTACAAAATTTTTCCCATGTCAAGTTCTTTTTGATTCTTTTGTTTCCTGTTTGCAATTAACTGAGTCTTTGAAATAGGTTGGTTTGGTTGTTTTAGTTTTTATCTTCTTTTGACTATTTTGTATTAAGATCGGTTTCAGTTACTTTAGTTTGATAATTTAGAAAGCCATGTAGTAAAAATTTCTCTTCTTGAAACTATACTTTCATACTCACAAGCTGTCTTAAAAATATGCGTGTACGCATGAAATATTCTGTGGCAGGATTATGGTAGTACAAAATTAGGCTTGTTATACCAGTCACAGAGAGATTTGTATCTAGTGGAAAGACAAGCAAGTAAACAATTAAAAAGCACTTGCTGAATAACTAGTACTTCTTGTGTATGATACAGGGTGAAAGAGTGAGAGGCAGCCTAAGTTTGTCTACCCAGGAAACTTTTTATTGGGAAAAAATTTATTTTGCTTTTAAATTCTACACCACAACATTTTACTGAAAATGAAGTGATTTTTAATCTACAGACAAAAGGCTCTTAAATGGTACACAGGTGTAACAATTATGTGATGACTTCTTACTATAGTCCAAGGGTAGAAAGACCTTTGAAAGAAATTAATCTTTCTACAGTATTAACCCCTAAAAGCAATTTTCCTTCATAGATGACAACAGTATTGTCAGTTTCATATACTTTTACTTTATAAAAGAACTCCCAAAGAAATTCCTGGAGGTTTTCCCAGATACATACAGCTGTATTTTCTGTTGTGCTTACAACATCTGCAAAGTGTGGCACATCCAGATCCAGATTCTTACGATCAAGGGCACTCACAACTGCCTCCTCCATGTACTCTCTGAGGTCAGTCAGATTCATAACCATTCCTGTAACAGGATCAGTCTTTATAATTGTGCCCATGGTCATTTGGATTGTTGCATTCCCCAAACAATTACAGATTTTCTTCATTACTCAGATTTGCTTTAGAGCCTATGGGTTGCACTGAGGGAGACGAGGTGGGACAGTTCACGCCCAATAGCCAACGGCAACCACATTGATTGCCTTGCCTCTGACCTCCAAGAAACTTTAAAGCGGTATTTACTTTCTGTCCTGTTGTTATGATTTTGCTTTGCACTCTTAAATTAGTACCTTCAACTTGTATTTAAAATTATCATGAAGTCGCCTGGGTGGCTAAGTTGGTTAAACTTCTGCCTTTGGCTCAGGTCGTGATCCGTCCTGGGATCGAACCCCACATCAGTCTCCCTACTCAGTGGGGAGTCTGCTTCTTGCTCTCACTCTCCCTCTGTGCCCTTGCTCTGTCTTTCTCTCTCTCTCTCTCAAATAAATAAATAAAATCTTTAAAAAAATAAAAGTATTATGATTTTTGTATGTGTGACAAACCTTGTTCCTGATGTAATTTAAGATTGTAGTCAATATTTATCTCTACCTCCTACAGCTTTCATCACTGAAAATGTGTCAATATCATAATTGGAAGAGATATTATATCTTGTCCAACATTACTGTTAAGCATTGACCTTTTGAGCTCCTTATATTTTGAAGGCTTGTCATTTCATTGTTGTTGCTTCCAATACATCATTCCAGTAATACTGTCTATTTCAAATGCTTGAAAATAAGTCTACATTTAAAAAAATTTTTTTTAGGGCTTTTAGTTGATCTATACTTTAAGAAGCCACATAATTAGGTTCTAGTCCCAGCTGCATAACTAAAAACTTCTCTGGCCCTCAATTGCCTTACCCATAAAATGCAAGAGATAAAATAATTCCCAAAATGTCTTCCAATTCTTATTTTTGTTTATCTTGTAAATGTTTACATTTATATTTACAATTTTTTTCTTTAAAAACTTTTAGTTTGGCATTTCCCAGAAAGCACTTCCATAAAATAAAACACAAGGTCTATGTTAGAGGATTTTAGCATATTTCAGTTGCAAAGCAGTCATGTGGAAGAAGGATTTGACTTAAGAGAGATAACTATGAGGTGGGAAGAAGAGTACTGACGTACAGGAAGTAATTGGAGTTAGAATTGAAATCACTGGCACGTGTGTTTTTGTTCTGTCTAGCATGCAACATTTTTTAGGATCTTTAAACAATTATTTTAATTAGCATGTAATTTGAAGTGTTAAATAATATGTTTTTCAAACTTTTTTAACTATGGTAATTATTAACTTATTGTGTCACTATTTGCTTTGGCTATTCAAAGTCTTTTATGGTTTCATATAAATTTTAGAATTATTCTAGTTCTGTGAAAAATGCCATTGGTAAGGATTGCATTGAATCTGTAGGTTGCTTTGAAATAATATGGACCTTTTAACAGTATTCTTTCAGTCCATGAACATGGAATATCTTTCTATTTATTTGTGACTTTTCAATATCTTTCATTAATGTCTTACAGTTTTTGATATATAAATCTTTTACCTCCTTGGCTAAGTATATTCCTAGGTGTTATTCTTTTTGATGCACTTATAAATGGGAATGTTTTCATAATTTCTCTTTCTGATAATTATTAGTGTAAAATATACAACAGATTTTTGTGTATTGATTTTGTACTCTGCAACATTATTGGATTTGTTTAACAGTTTTTTGATGGAGTCTCTCGGATTTTTTGTGTATAATATCTCATCTGCAACTAGTGACAGTTTTACTTCTTCCTTTCCGGTTTGGATGCCTTTTATTTCTTTTTCTTGCCTAATTGTTCTGGCTAGGACTTCCAATACTTTGTTGAATAAAAGTGGTGAAGAGTGGACATCCTTGTCTTGTTGTATGTTCCCTCTATACCCACTTTGTTGAGAGTTTTTATCGTAAATGGATGTTGAATTTTGTCATTTACTTTTTCTGCATCTGTTGAGATGATCATGATTTTTATCCTTCATTTTATTAATGTGGTATATACCACATTGATTTGTGGATGCTGAGCCATGCTTCCATCCCTGGAATAAATTCCACTCAGTCATGGTATATGATCCTTTCATTAATGTATTGTTGAACTCAGTTCACTAACATTCTTTTGAGGATTTTTGCATCTATGTTCATCAGAGATATTGGCCTCTAGTTTTTCTTTTTTGTGGCATTCTTGTCTGGTTTTGGTATCAGGGTAGTACTGGCCTTGTAAAATGATTTTGGAAGTCTCCTCTTCTCTTTTCTGGATGAATTTGAGAAGAATCAGTATTAATTCCTCCTTGAATGTTGGTAGAATTCACCAAGGAAGCCATATGGTCCTAGACTTGTTTGTTGGGCGGTTTTCAATTACTGATTCAATCTCCTTACTAGTAATTGGTCTTTCAGATTTTCTATTTCTAGGAATTTATCCCTTTCTTCTAAGTTGTTCAGTTTGTTAGCATATAATTTTTCATAGTGTTCTGTTATCATCCTTTGTATTTCTGTAGTATTAGTCATAATCTCTCTTTCGTTTCTGATTTTTGAGTCCTTTTTTCTTGGTCAGTCTAGCTAAAGGTTTGTCGATTTTATCTTTTCAAAGAAACAGCTCTTAGTCTCATCAGTATTTTCTCCTATTGCCATTTTTAGTCTATATCACTTATTTCTGCTCTAAATTTTGTTATTTCCTTACTTCTACTGACTTTGGGCTTCATTTGTTCTTTTTTTCCTCCTAGTTCTGTGTGGTGTAAAATTAGTTTGTTTCTGGAGATAGGCATTTATCACTATGAACTTCACTGTTAGAACTTACCATGTTTGATGCTTTTGCTGTATCCCATAAATTTTGGAATGTTACATTTCCATTTTTGTTTGTCTCTAGCTATATCCTTTATTTCTCTTTTGATTTTTCCTTTGACCCATTGATTGTTCAGTAGCATGTTGTTGAATCTCTGCATATTTGCTAATTTTTCATTGTTCTTTGTGTAATTAATTTCTGATTTCATACCATTATAGTCGGAAAAAAATGATGTTATTTCAATCTTAAATCCATTAAGACTTGTTTTATGGCCTAACATATGATCTGTCTTGGAAAACGTTCCATGTGCACTTAAGAAAAATGCGTATTTGTTGTTTTTGTATGGAATGTTCTGTAAATATCTGTTAAGTCCATCTGGTCTAATATGTTGTTTAAGACCAGTGTTTTCTTGGTTTTTCTGTCTGGATGATTTGTTCATTTAACTAATTGGGGTATTAGAGTCCCCATATATCATAAATTATAATAATTATATAAATACTGGGTGCCTGGGTGGCTCAGTCGTTAAGCATCTGCCTTCGGCTCAGGTCATGATCCCAGCGTCCTGGGATCAAGTCCCGCATCGGGCTCCCTGCTCGGCGGGAAGCCTGCTTCTCCCTTGCCCACTCCCCCTGCTTGTGTTCCTGCTGTCGCTGTCTCTGTCTCTGTCAAATAAATAAAATCTTTAAAAAATAATAATAACTATATAAATACTATTGTATTTCTCCTTTTAGGTCTGTTAATATTTGCTTTATGTATTTAGGTGCTCCTATGTTGGGTGCATAAATATTTACAAAGGTTATATCTACTACTTTGTTGACCCCTTTTTCATTATGTAACATATCTTTTTTGTGTATTAGTTACAGTCGTTGTTTTAAAATGTATTTTGTCGGGGCACCTGGGTGGCTCAGTCGTTAAGCGTCTGCCTTCGGCTCAGGTCATGATCCCAGGGTCCTGGGATCGAGCCCTGCATCCGGCTCCCTGCTCGGCGGGAAGCCGGCTTCTCCCTCTCCCACTCCCCCTGCTTGTGTTCCCTCTCTCACTCTCTCTCTCTCTCTGTCAAATAAATAAATAAAAATCTTTTAAAAAAATAAATAAAAAAAATAAAATAAAATGTATTTTGTCTGGGCCCCTGGGTGGCTCAGTTGGTTAAGCAACTGCCTTCAGCTCACATGATCCTGGAGTCCCAGGATCGAGTCCCTCATCAGGCTCCTTG